ACTACCCACCTATTAGAGCACCTAAAATTTACACAAAAAAACGCATGTAAATCCCAGCTACGCAGGAGGCTGAGTCAGGAGGATTGTAAATTTGAAGCTCTCCTGGGTAATTTGGTAAGACCCTGTCTCCAAATTAAAAATAAAAAGGATTGGGGGTGTAGTTCCATAGTTAAATGTTCCTGGGTTCTATTTCCACTACCATAAACATTAGAGTGCTTGCCTCGCATGCACAAGGCCCTGGATTCAATTCCCAGCACCACACACACACAAACAGTGATAATACTAAGTATTGGCAAGGATACAAACAACTGTATATATTGCTGGTAAGAATGCAGTATGGCACCAGCCACCCTGGAAACGGAACAGAATCTTAGTCACTTACCAAGTACTCAGCTGTGCCTTCTGGATATTACCCTAGAAAAATGAAGTTCTCTGCACAAATGTTTATAATTGTTCATCATGAACAAACCTGGAGACAGTCTGAATGATCTTCAGCAGGTGTGTGGCTAGAAGAAGTACAACTTGTATAGAAGAGTACAACTCAGCAATGAAGAATGAGCCATTGATGTTTGCCTGTGTGCTGGGGTACCCACACCACCTATGCTTGAGCCATTAGAAGGTCCTGTGGGCTTAGGTATTTGCACTCATGCTTACAGTGGATTATAGCAGTGAAGTCAGGACACACAGCCTGCCAGGATTGCAACCCCAGTGACTAAACCTTACTCGTGGAATTGTACTGACTTGATCCACCCCCAGCCCATTACCAGGCTCTGGTCCGGTAACCCTAGGTCCAAGGGTGAGGTAACCTCTGTTGCCTCCCTGGAAAAGAGGGTTCTGTGTCCCTAAAAGGGAGGGGGATGGGTGCTAGTATTGCAAAACTATATATTTTCCCTGAATTGTGTTTATCGGTGTTACYTCCTCTGACTCCAGCAGTTCACTTGTTCCAGGTCCTTGCCAGACAGGAGGGATATAAAGGTTGTGTGTGAAAAGAGAATTTGTGGTTGGCTTTGGAAACTTCTTGAATATGCGTGACCTCATCTGTCTTTTGTCCCTGTTTTTTTTTTCTCTTCTAGGCACTTAGTGCTGCAGGTGCTTGACTTTCTGGTGCTGCCCATCCTTATCCTCTGAGTACCATTACAGTTTCTTCCCTTGGAGTGCTCTGCGTCCTGAATGCCATCCCTTTCTACAGCAGCTTGTTTCAGCTCTTTGCATCTTTCAGGGTTTAGCTCTGTTTGTTGTTTTTTTTTGGTAATGGGGATTGAACTCAGGGGCACTCAACCACTGAGCCACATCCCCAGTCCAGTTTTATGTTTTATTAGAGACAGGTCTCACTGAGTTGCTTAGCACTCACCGTTGCTGAGGCTGGGCTTTGAACTCGCCATCCTCCTGCCTCAGCCTTCTGAGCTCCTGGGATTACAGGTGCTCCACTGTGCCTGGCCAGAAACATTTTGTATACAGAAATATTCACATGCCTCAGCCTCCTGAACCACTGGGATTGCATGTGTGGGCCACCGGGCTGGCCAGGGTGTAGTTCTTTGAGAAGCCTTGTCTGGGATGGTTTTTTGGGGGTTTCTTTTTGTGTGTGTGTGTGGTGCTAGGGATTGAACCCAGGGCCTTGTGCATGCAAAGCAAGCACTCTACCAGCAGAGCTATATCCCTAGCCCCTGAGATGTTTTGATCCACATTAGTTTTTCTTCTTTGCTTTTAGCCCTTCTGTCTATAGCTTATCTTGGCTGTAAGTTCCTTCAGCTGTATCCTCATACCTGGCTGAGTGCTGGACGTAGTAGGATTAAGTAGTTGACAGTTATTATTACATTCAATACTTTTTGGAATTATTTGTTCCCTTAATTGTCTGCAGTACTATATACCTGTTTTGTTTTTGTGGTACTGGGGATCGAACCCAGGGACAGTGCATTCTACCTCTGAGCTACATCGCCAGCCTTTTTCATTTTTTAGATTTTTTTTTTTTTTTTTTTTTTTTTTTGTGGAGGCGGGTTATTGGGGATTGAACCCGGGGTACTTTACCACGAAGCTACATCCCCAGCCCTTTTCATTTTGTAGATTTGGGGTGGGGGGGGGGTTACTCAGGAGCACTTTACCACTGAGCCATCACCCCAGCCCTTTTATTTTTACTTTGAGACAGAGTCTCACTAAGTTGCTTAGGACCTCACTTAGTTTCTGAGGCTAGCTTTGAACTTGCAATCCTCCTGCTTCAGCTTCCTGAGTCGCTGGGATTATAAGCATGTGCCACCATGCTTGGCAGCACCATATGCTTGTAAGCTGGCCATTACTTGAGAGAATTGTATTTTTACACATGCAAGTTGCTTAGGTAACTTGCTGCTCCCGACTCATTCCTTATGCTGCTTCCCCACCTGCTTCTTACACAAATGCAGTCATGGCCGTGCGTAGGTCTTTTCTTCTCCCTTTCCTCCTCTTGTTTTGTTGTCAGCAGCAACAGCAGCATTATTTTGAAACAGGGTCTCACTGTGTTGCCTGGACTGGTCTCAAGCTCAACGTTAAGTGATCTTCTCACCTCAGGCACCTGAGTAGCTGGCACAATAGGCTTGAACTACCTTTCCCAGCCCACAAGTTATTTCTTCATTTTTTTCTTACTTTTGCTGTGCTGCAGATCAAATCCAGGGCCTCATTCATGTGCAAGTGCTCTACCACCGACTACACTCTCAACCCTTGAGGGCCTTTTCAAATGAATTTCTAGGTCCCACCCTAAGAGTTGCTGATTAGTAGGACTGGGGTAGCTACAAAACCTGCATTTCTCACAAGTACTCAGGTGATGCTAAGGATGCTGTTCAGGAGACCCACTTGGGGGCCCACTGTATTAGAGTTCAAGTGCCTGCTTCGATTTCTTTTTCAGAGCTGGTCTTTGCCCAGTTAAATATGAGTGTTTGGGAATCCCACTGAAGCATGGTGTTTGCAGGATTTATTGAGTGTTTCAAATGGAATCAGCTTCATGACAGGTTCCTTTACTCCACTCTTCTGTAGCACTTGGGTGATAAATGTAAGTGGTGGGAAATGTAAGTGGTGGGAGGATTGCCCAGCTGTATAGTTTGGTGGATTTAGTTAACATAAATCTGTATTCTTTGCAGGCGCCATAGTGCCCTTATTCCTAGAGACTCTGGAGGCTGAGGCAGGAGGATGGCAAATTGAAGGCTAGTCTCAGCAATTTAGTGAAACCCTGTCTCAAAAAGAGCTGGCTATGTAGCTCAATGGTAAATCACCCCTGAGTTCAATCCCCAGGACCACCAAAAAAGTAAAAATAAAAAATTTGTATTGTGAATAACTCACTCTTCAGTCTTCACCACTTCCTGTAAGGGCCTTCTGCAGTTACTTATTAATTGTAAGGGGAAAATGATAACTATATAGTGGAAAAGTTGGCTGTCACTCTGGGTGATCAAAATTAATACCAGCAGTTGGGAAGGTTGTCTCTCAAGATGTCATACTTTTAGAAAGATACTTATGCAGTAGTATAATTGGTGTCCAAGGACAGAATGACAAATTTAAAGATCTTAATTGGCTTTATTTTTAATTCTGCAACTGGGCAACACTTCATGTGATATGATAGAGTATGCATTTCAGTGGACTAAGAAGACATTGATTTTGTAGCCAAAGAAAGGCTGAAGAAAGTAAAAACAACAAAATACAGATGGGTCATTTCCAAGTTACCTTCCTCGACATTTGGGGATAGAGAAGCAGAACAATAGAAAACTGGTTAACATTGTTAGGTTGCTTTAGGTTACTTGTTTTATGTAGGAATTAAAGAAGAAGGTACTTGGTTATCCTGCCAACTTAACTTGCTTGGGACATTTAGCTATCACCTCTTACTTCCTCTTGGTTTCTTGGAAGGTCAGATAAACAGCTTAGCTTTGTTTTGATGATATGGAACTTTGGCATGGGTGACTCCATTTTGGATTTCAGTCTGTTGTAGGAGCCTAGTTGAAAGCAGTGACTTCCTAGAATTTTTAACATTGATCATTCTGTTTTTTTTTAAAAAATATTTTTATTAGTTGTTCATGGACCTTTATTTACTTATTTTTATGCGGTGCTGAGAATCAAACACAGTTCCTCGCACATGCTAGACTCTGCCACTGAGCCACAATCCCAGTTCACCTTGATCATTCTTAATTGGAATCTAATCACAAGGAAACACCAGATATATCTAAATGAGAAGTCATTTTTTAATTTAAAGAGCCTATATTCTTAAATATCAGTGGCATAAGACAAAAGATTAAAGAATTTACAAGTTTAAAGGAGATTTGAGAGACATAATAGCTAAATGCAAGAGATGATTCTAGCTGGGCCCTGGGTTGAAGGGGGAACTGCTCTAAAGGATATTATTGGGTTAAATTGGAATGTGGATTGGTTGGTTAGATAAAGTATCAATTTTGAATTTCCTGAGCTTTACTACAGAACTTTGGTTATATAAAATAACCTAGAAAACACATACTGAAATATTTAGAGATTAAAAAATCTTTGATGGGTGCAACTTAATGGGTAAAAAAAAAATTTATGAAAGAAATGATAAAGTCACTGGAGCAAGGTTGCAGGTGTTCTGTGTATTGTTCATGACACTTGTAGGTTTTTTTTTCTTTTTTTTTTTTTAATACTGTAAGTTTAAAATTTTTCCTAAATAATAAATTTATAAAACCAAATACCTCTGCTCTTCATTTCAGTATAATTGTAAAGTTTTTTTTCTAATTTACATAAAAATATTTGAAACACAGAATGGTGTACAAATAATGGTTCACTTTGCCTGGGTCTGCTGGTACCTGGTTTTGTAGGTGTTGGCTGGGGCGTGAGGAGACCAGCACCCGCTGATAGCTTCTGAGGGCCATGTGAGTGCTTCAGATGCATTGAAGTCCATCTTTACCAAGGGAGCAGATTTTAGTTGTTTTCAGCGGGGTGGGCTACCTTGTGATGCACCTGAATATGGTCTGTTTTTATATATTGTACCTTTAGCTTTGAAAACTGTATTTCTCTTTCAGCTCAAAATGGAGTTAGTCCTGACTGGGAGAAGAAAGTTATTGAATATTTTAAAGAAAAACTGAAGGAAAATAATGCTCCTAAATGGGTAAGCTTATTGCTGTTTGGGGGAAGAGAGGATTGGGCAGGCTTCAGTTTATCACAGTGGAAGCCGTAATTCACCTGTAATTTAAAAACATAATGGTCTCTTTTGCAAGCTAATTTGGGGAATTAAATACATTGTGCCTCTAGGTGGCAGTAGCTGACTGTTACTTCCTAGGACAATCTGGTTGTAAGGGCATTTATTATTACCTTTGTTTTATTACCTTCAATTCAAAAGAATCGGCATGTGTGAGTTTTAAGAGGACAATTCATCCAACTWAATGCCTTTCTGTTAACTGAAACATGTTCAGAAGGACAAGCAGCCTTTGCATTATGGTGAAGTGTTACCATGCAAACTTGCAAGTACTTGGAAAGTTCTTTCATCCAGAGTTATATTGTGTTGACCATTGAGATCATTTAACGTCTTGATAGGGCTTGATTGTGTGCATGTGACAATTTGTGTCTGGGTTTTGTGTGTATATGTTTAATGATTTATTGTCAGGATATTTTGTTGATTGACTTGATTGTTTTCTTTTAAGGTACCCTCATTGAATGAAGTTCCCCTTCATTATCTGAAACCTAACAGTTTTGTGAAATTTCGTTGCATGATTCAGGATATGTTTGACCCTGAGTTTTACATGGGAGTTTATGAGACGGTTAACCAAAACACAAAAGCACGTGTAGGTATTGCTTTTTTTGTGAAACTTTATACTTAGGATTTGTGGTATGGACTATATTAATATAATACTGTTATCCTTTGTTTTGGGCCATAGGTTCTTCATTTTGGAAAATACAGAGATATAGCAGAATGTGGGGTATGTATCCTTAAGAGATATAACATTTTTTTTTTAATATTTTTTAGTTGTAGATGAACTTTATTTTATTTATTTATTTTTATGGGATGCTGAGGATTGAACCCAGTACCTTACACATGCTAGGCAAGTGCTCTACCACTGAACTACAGCCCCAGCCCCGAGATATAACATTTTTTAATAAGAACTTTTTCCCTGAACAGAGAATTCATTATTCCTTTGGTCAGTCTTTAGTTTATTTGACTTGTATATAAATAAGTTCTAAAAAAATCACATGAAAGCCCTGTGAGGTTGCACATACCAGCTATTCAGAAGACAGGCCAGCCTAGGCAACTTGCAGAACTCAGTCTTGAAATAAAAAAGGCTGGGGGTGTGGCTCAGTGATAGAGTGTTCCTGGGCTCAATCCCTAATGCCACCTCAAAAAAAAAAATGGTGTGAAAATTTTTTGGGGGGGCTTCCTTTTTCTGATGATCATCATCTTTGTTGTCTTTTCCCCCCCTCTTTCTTTCTTTTAAAGATCTCTTACAAGATAGATTTTTKGGGGTGAGGTGGGTACTGGGGATTGAACCACTCAGGGGCACTTGACCACTGAGCCACACCTCTAGCCCTATTTTGTATTTAGAGACAGGGTCTCACTGAGTTGCTTAGCACCTTGCTTTTTCACCAAGGCTGGCTTTGAACTTGCGATCTTCTTGTCTCGGACTCCAGAGCCACTGGGATAACAGGCGTGCACCACCACACCCAGCAAAAGAGAGCATATTTTAAATAACAAAATTCTTTTTTATGCCCAGTATCTATATATTTAGTTAAAAGGTTACTGACTATGATACTTTTTTTTTTTAAATGAAAGTGAAAGATTAGGCTTTGCACTTGCTCAATTAAATATAATCATCCTCTTTTGCTGGGAGAAAAAAATACTTTCTGTTTCTATGCACTTTTTTCAATTATTCTATTTATTTATTTTTTTTTTTATTTATTTTTGCAGTGCTAGGGATGAAACCCAGGGGCGCTCTACTACTGAGCCTCACCTCCAGTCTTTTTTTTTTTTTTTTTTTCCTAAATTTTGAGACCGTATCTAAGTTGCCCGGGCTTGCTTCAAATTTACGATCCTCCTGCCTCAATCTCCCTGGTGGCTGGATTTACAGGAATGAGTGACCATGCCCACTTAGCTGTTTACTATTATTTATTTATGTTTGTGCAGGGGATTAAACCTAGCACCTGGCTCATGGTAAGCCCATGGTCTACTGTAGAGCTGCACCCTCAGCTTAAAAATAGCATTGTTTTGGGGTTTGGTTTGTTTTTAGTAAACTTTTCATTGGAAAGAGGTCATAGAAGCTCTGACATCACTATTGGGGAGAAGAAAGCAGAATATTGGTTGTAATTGTAACGGTTTTGAAGTAGAAATTCACTAGAAAGCCAGTTAAAGGGGGGGCCATGGGAAATCTGCAATTTCTTTGTTTCTTTCCATTGACTTTTTATTATTATTTTAGTTGTATATTTTTTACTTATTTATATGTGGTGCTAGATTCGAACCCCTACACCCCCAGTGCCTCACACATGCTAGGCAAGCACACTACCACTGAGCTATAGCCCCAGCCCTGCATTGCTTTTTAAATACAGAATTGAGTTAAATGTCATTCTGACACCTGTTCAGCATGCCTGGCACAGCTGGGAAGGTTTCAAATTTATTTCACATTTAATAATGAAAAAGATGATTGGTAGCATGTCAAAATAAATGTCTCCCATAATTTGCTGTATGCGTTTTTATATGTTTCTGTTGCAACCCAGACTTTTGATTGTCAACTATTAAAAAGAAAACAAGGATCACAGATGGGGATTTAGTGGTTTTCCTGATGTGGTTTTCTTGCTATCTTTATTATTAGTGTCTGTCTTTTAAATATTCTAAGTGACAGTATTGGGGGATTGACCAGGCAGGTGCCTCTGTAGGAAGTTGAGACCTCTGGAGTTACCTATGTTCCAGGTCTGCTTTATAGACCCAGAATCTTAGTTTTAGATTTAGAAAAGGACTTACCCATTCCAGGTATCTAACTGTTATTTACCCAGACTTCAAGAGATTTTTTTGATTATTGATGGATTGAATGATTGGTAGGTACTGAGGATTAAACCCAGGGGCACTTTATTTTATTTATTTTTATGTGGTGTTTAGGATCAAACCCAGTACCTACACATAACTAGGAAGTGCTCTACCTCTGGGCCACACCCCTAGTCCCCCTTTTTACTTTTTATTTTTACTCAGCCTCCCAAGTCACTAGGATTACAGGTGTGTGCCACCATGCCCAGCAAGAGATTGATTTTAAAACCCTAATACCAGGGGCTGGGGATTAGCTCAGTTGGTAGAGTGCTTCCCTCACATTTGTCAAGGCCCTGGGTTCAATCCCCAGCAACACACACACACACACACACACACACACACACACACATATACCAAAAAATAAAAAACAAAAACCCTAATAATACCAACCTCAGGGGCTAAGGATGTGGCTCAGCGGTAGAGCGCTCACCCAGCACAAATGAGACCCTGGGTTCGATCCTCTTTACCACATAAAAATAAATAAAATAAAGGTATTATGTCCAACTACAACTAAAAAATAAAAAAATATTAAAAAATAATAATAATAATAATAATAATACCAACCTCAGAAGAATTTGTTTCTGATGGATGCCAGCTCAGTGGGCAGATGTGACAGAATAGCCCTAATTTGGAAGATTACCACAAAAAAATTATATTAAGCAGAAATACAACTTCCAACAATTATTTGTAGTTATTTGAACTCATTTGAAAGATGGGTTTGTTTAATCTCAAACATGGTGAACTTCAGGCCTCCTAGTATCTTATCTTTTAGTATTTCCAAATGTAAAACTCATGCCAAGTCTAAGGGGTCAACTTTATCGATGCTTACCGAATCCTGAGCTTAAGAAGTCCTAACACATGAGACTGGTAAATTAACACACAACTTTCCCCCAGTACATGGTGGTGTGATGTAGCTCAGTAATCCTGGCATCTGGAAATGGGCTGAAGGCCCTTTGAGGCTGTGTCTCTGCGATGCTGCCACATACTCAGAGGGTTGTTTATGCTCTGCATTTTTCTTTTTCCACACCCAGGATCCAAGGATCTTGTGCATGCTAAGCACGTTTTCTAACACTGAACTGCACCCCCCAGCCCCTGCTTTGTCTTTGAAAGGATTACAAAGGATTAATTTTGTAATCTGAGGGACTATGTTATGGATATGAGGGATGTGGTGGATTGATTATTGCATTTGAAATAAGTATTAGCTTCCTTTTTAAAAAAGAGAAAAAAACGGTAGTTTTGGATTAGTTGCTTATTGATTAACTTTTATGGTAACAGTTACTGTGGTTATTATTGTATAACAAATAATATGAAAACAGTGCTAATTTTTTAAAAATTTTGTTATTTGTAAAAATACTTTTGTGTATATCACAGCCTCAACAAGAACTTGATTTAAACTCTCCACGATCTACAACTTTGGAAAGACAGACTTTCTACTGTGTTCCAGTGCCTGGGGAATCTACGTGGGTAAAAGAAATATCCTTTACCTGAACCGTATGCACTGAATGGTTCCTAAATATTTCTTTAAATAAAAAGACTATGATTCAGGTTTCTAGTCTTTTTTCTAGCTAGCTGGGTGGGGTGGGGGGCGGGGGATGGCAAAAAAACACTTTTACTGATTATTCACAAAGTGTGGCTTTATTTTAGTAACATAAAACAACCTAGTATTTATCACTGAGAAATTCTAAAATTACAAATACATTCCTATAATGAAATACTGTTAAAAAGGTGGAGGTAGATTTATAAGTACTGAAAAAATACCATGATAATTAGGTTAAAAATAGTTTCAAATTAGAGTTCTGCTTTTCTTTTTTTAAAAAAATATTTTTTAGTTATAGCTGGACACAATTCCTTTATATTTTTATTTATTTTTATGTGGTGCTGAGGATTGAACCCAGGGCCTCACACATGCTAGGTGAGCACTCTACCACTGAGTCACAACCCCCACCCGAGTTCTGTTTTTCTTAAGGGAAAACAACATGTTGGTTCTTTATGTGTGTGTGTGTGCGCGCGCGCGCGCTCGCACATGGTGCTGGGGATTGAACCCAGGGCATTGTGCGTTCGAGGCAAGCACTCTACCAACTCAGCCATATCCCCAGCCCCAACATGTTGGTTCTTTTGAGAGGAGATCGTGAAAACCTAAGTCTCCTTTTTATTTATGATTATTTATTTATTTATTTATTTTGCACTGATGGGGATCAAGCCTAGAGCCTTCCGCTTGCCCCTCAAGCACTGAGCATCTCCATCTCCTTTGCTTATAATGTCTGTGGGATATCCAGCATTGGTCTCTTTCATTCTCAGGAATGTAAGCTTAATGTAATTATCTGGCAGTACTGGGGATTTGACCCTGAACATTCTGCCTCTGAGCTACATCTCCAGCTCTTTTTACTTTGCAGTGGGGCTTTGCTAAATGGCTATGTCTGGCCTCAAACTTTTGATCCTCCTACCTCAGCCTCACAAAGTAGCTGGGATTGCAGGCATGTGCCATTGCACCTGGCCTTTTCTCTTTTACTATTTTTGATACTGGGGATTGAACTCCGAGGCACTCGACCACTGAGCTACATCCCCAGTTCTTTTTTGCAATTTATTTAGAGACAGGGTCTCATTGAGTTGCTTTGTGCCTTGCTTTTTGCTGAGGCTGGCTTTGCGCTCAGGATCCTCGTGTCTCAGTCTTCAGCTGCTGGGATCACAGGTGTGCGCCACCATGCCCCGCTCTCTTTTTCTTGATTAGTTTTGCTAGGGGTTTCTTAAACAACCAACTCTTTTGTTTTGACTGTTTTCTGTTTCATTGATTTCTACTTGTAGTCCCTTCCTTTTGGTTTTGCTGCAAATTTTGTCTTAGCTTCTTAAAGTAGAATTTGGGGAAATATAAAAATCAGATCATTGATTTTTAGATTTCCCCAAATTAGCAATTACAGGAGTAAACTTATCTAGTCACTGCTTTGGTTGCATCCCATGAATTTTGACTTGTCATTTTTATTGTCATTCAGTTCAGAATGTTTTCTGACTTCTCTGTGATTTCTCCTACGGTCTTAGACCCATTGACAGTGTGTCTGTCCACATTGTCCCCTCCCATCCTTTGTTTTATCATGTCTTTCCTTTGTACTTAAATTAAAGAACCCATAATATGTTACTGTTCTTGCCTTAAGCAGTTGTTAGTTGGTTGTGATGGTGCACATCTATAAGCCCAGCCACTTTAGAGGCTGAGGCAGGGGAATTACAACTTAGTGAAACCCTGTCTCAAAAAATAAAATTCGAAGGACTGGGCTGTAGCTTAGTATTAAAATGTACCTGGGTTCAGTCTTCAGAGCCAAACCAAACCACACAAAACAGAACAAAAAAGCAGTCATCTTCTACAAAAATTGAGAAAATACATCTTTTATTTGTGAACACATTACCATTTCCATCCCCCTCTATCTCTTTTTTAATGTAGAATCCTTTCCCTTAGTTTTTTACCCTTCTTTTTCTTAGAACAGATATGTTCATGGTGAATTTTTTTCAGTTCCTATTCAACTGAAAAAGTCTTTATTTCAGCTTCATTGTTGGAGCATATTGTCACCCGATATAGAGTTCTTGATTGACGTGCATTTCCCCTCTGCAGTGTCTTAATGATACTGCGCCATTGTCTCTTGGCCTCCGTTATTTTCTGATGAAAGGTTAGTCATTCTTACAGCTCTCCTTGTGTGATATGTCTTTTGTTTTTCTCTGGCAGCTTCAAATATCCTCTCTGTGGTTTTCAGCACTTTAACTGTGATGTATGTGAATGTTTTATATGTTTCTCTTGTTGAGTTTTGTTGAACTTTTTGGCTCTGTGGGTTGATACTTTTCAGAATGTTTGGGGAAGTTTTTCAGTCATCATTTCTCATATTATTCCTGTCCCAGTCTCTCAGTGTTTCTGGAACTTGAGGTACATGATTATTTGACTCCTTGGAATCTTGTACAGGTGACTTGGGCTCTGTTCACTTTTGACCCCCCACCCTGCTTGTTTTGGGGATAACGCCCAGGCTCTTGAGTATGCTAATAAGTCCTCTGTTACTGATTCCCCTATTTGTCTGTTAATCTTTTTCCTTTTTTTTTTTTTTACTGCAGTTTGGATAGTTACTATTGACTTGTGATCAAGGTCACCCACTTTTTCTCTTATATACAATCTCATGTCAAGTCCATTCAGGTTGTTTTTCATTTCAGGTGTTTTATTTTATGGTTGTAGATTTTTCAGATTGTTTTTAGTTTGTCTGATAATATTTCTCTTCTGTTTACTTTTTAAATCTACCTTTGATTTATTTTCTTATTTAGTTACTAAGGATTGAACCCAGGGGCACTGAACCACTGAGCCACATCCCCATCCCCCTTTTTTTATATTTTATTTAGAGACAGGGTCTCACTGAATTGCTTAGCACTTTCATAAGTTGCTGAGGCTGTCTTTTTTTTTTTTTTTTTTTTTTTTTGCGAGAGAGAGAGAATTTTTTAATATTTATTTTTCAGTTTTCGGTGGACACAACATCTTTATTTATTTTTATGTGGTGCTGAGGATCGAACCCAGCACCCTGCGCATGCAGGCGAGTGTGTTACCACTTGAGCCACATCCCCAGCCCATGCTGAGGCTGTCTTTGAACTTGCAATCCTCTTTCCTCAGCTTCCTGAGCCACTGGAATTACATGCATCACTGYGCCCAGCTCCTTTTTATTTTTTATTTTGTGACAAGTTCTCACTAAGTTGCTTAGGGCCTCATTGAAGCCAGCCTCAAACTTGATGTCCTCCTGCCTTGGCCTCCTGATAAGTTGCTGGTATTTCACACCTAGCCTGTCTTTTGTTTTCAAGTTGTGAGTTATAAGTGTGTTGTAGTACCCTGTCTGCTAATTCTAATATCCAGGTCTGGTCTTTGTTTCTGTTAGCTGGTTTTGATCTTTCTTATAGGTCACATTTCCCTGCTTCTTCACATACATAAGGAAGTCTTAGTTCTTACTGTAGGTTGTAAAGAATTCAGTCTTCTGTCTCTAAAATTCACATTTGTTTCTGACAGGGAACTTACTAGATGGCTTTGATCTTTTGAAGGCATGGTTTTGGGATTTGCTTAGTGGGCATAGAGCAGCCCTTGGTGGGTGGACACAGTTCATGAGGTGTGCCATTTCTAGGTCTCTGAAGGTCTGAGATGTTCAGTTCAGAAAGGTCCAATTCTAGTAATTTCAGAGTCCCCATTAATTTTTGGCCAACCAGCAGCTGTTCTCTGCAAGGCCTTGAGGAATCTTTTTTTTTTTTTTTTTTTTTTAAATATTTATTTATTTATTTTTAGTTCTCGGTGGACACAACATCTTTGTTGGTATGTGGTGCTGAGGATCGAACCCGGGCCGCACGCATGCCAGGCGAGCGTGCTACCGCTTGAGCCACATCCCCAGTCCCCCCTTGAGGAATCTTGACTCAGGATATCCGGCCAGAGGTACAGATTTTCCATCTGCACAGATTTCTGCACCTCTGTCTGCAGCTGCTTCCTGTCTAGTACTTTCTGTGAATTTTAGTTGTTTCAGTAGCCCTGAGCGATGTGCTCTGTTTCTTCTGCCTGGCCAGTATGGGGCCTCCAGGCCTCTCTGCTGTAGTTAGGGAGGTGTCTCCAGAATGGGAGAGCTCCAGAATGGGGGCTTTTCCTGTTGCACATCTCCCCATTCAAGCATTGTAGCCCATGACCCTGTTTTTCAGTGGCTGAAAACGGTCACTTCACTTACTTTGTCCAGTTGGATGGTTTTTTCCATCGAGGGTGGGGGGCATAAGGTATACCTGTTCACTTTCTTGACCCAAACTGGAAGACTAGCCTCCTTTAAAAAATATTTCATTTTTACTGAATTACCAAACCACTAATCTTTCATTAATCATATAATTAGCATAATTTAGCATCGCTCCGTTCATGGTTCTTAACTATTCATTTAACGCCTATGTCAATGCAAACCAAGCTCGTGTCAGCCCCTCAACATCCTACACTCCCAGTCGTCATAAGAGGAGTTATGAAGATGATGAAGATATGGACCTACAGCCTCATAAACAGAAAGACCAGCATGCAGGTGCCAGACAAGCAGGTAGTGTGTGCCAGGAGGCTTGCCATAGACTTCTGTTCTCTTGCAGGAGACTCATTTTCTTAATTAATTATTGTATAACATGCTTACAGATTTAAGAGCTGGTAATGATGTGGCAACTCTGCTTCATTCACATTTGTATTATAGACAGGTTTGGATCTGGGATGAAACTCAGTGGCAAGGCCCTTGCCCAGTGTGTAGGAGAGTTGATACAGTACTCTTTGCTTAAACCATGCTTCGTAATTGAGCAATTAGGCATCACTTAGTGAGAAGCAGCTGCTTTAATGTACATTTCAGAGTCTCAAGTGGTTAGCTAGAAAAGATCTTCTATCTTCTTTTCATTTTTATTTTTATCCCAACTCTTAAATAATATGGAAGTTTAGTACTTTACCCTATTTTTTTCCTATATCTGAAACTTTTTTTTTTCATGTTCTTTTTGGTACTTTCATTTAATTTTATAAGATTAAAAATATCAAAGGAAAAATATGAAAATGTGGTAATACGAAATATTACATGAATTTGCATTGGTTTATTTCTTAAAACACACTTAAAACATGGTTACTTTTGATTAAAATAAGGAGACCAAAGTTGGCATTTTCTTAATGATTAGAGAATTCCAGAATCCCTACATACCATTATTGATCTCAATCCCAGCTTTCATGAACAGTGGCTTTCTTTAACAAAGCAGGTAAATAGGTTTGTCTATAGGTCTCCTTTTTGTATGTTCACTTCCCTTTTGCACCTTTAATCAGTGAAAATTAAAGGGAGAAAACAAATGAGTCTGATTGTCTGCAAAATTGGGTTTAGAGAGCAAATTTAACCATCAGGGTAAACAGATGCACTAATGAACTTCATTTAAGTTACTTTATCTTAGGAACTCACGTTTGTGAATTGCATTAATGCTGACATATTTTAATGTTGTAAGTTAGAATTGTGAATGTACAAATGTGGAAGTATTCTTTATCTACCCCAGAGTTCATGCAAATTACTGGTGTATTGAAATAGTACAAGATGTGAAAGTGTAGAGCTGGGCGCACTTGTAAGAAATACCACAGAGGTCTCTTACACCCTCAGTGGGTAACATCTTGCATGGACCTTGGTCTGGTCTATCAAGCTAGTTCGGAACTCACATTTTTGCATGTGCTTATTTATGTACGTCTAGTTCTGTTTGTATTACCACGTGTAGATTGTGGTTTCTGCAACAGTGGAGATACATGAGGGTTTATTACCCAGCTCTCTCCTCTTGTCTCTTAATGACCAACTCTGCCACCTCCCCACAGTTCCCTAACCCTTGGTAACCATTAATTTGCTTTCCTCCTCTACAGTTTTGGCATTATAAGAACATCATATAAATGGAATCAAGTATTATGTAAACTCTGTGGATTGGCTTTTTCCATTCAGCATGATTCCCTTAAAATCCATAAAAGTCGTTAAATGTGTCAGTAGTTTATTCCTTTTTTATTGCTGAATGGTATTCTGTGGTATGACAGGTGTCATTTTGGTTCTGATTATTTATCAGCCTTAATGTGAACTATTCAGAAGTATCTTTTAATGATCTGTATATTCCCAGTAATTAGTCTGATTCTTGCATAAGGGATATTAGTAAATATACGGTAAATGGATTTATTGCTGTTTGATTGTAATAGAAAAAATGTGTGTTCTCCCAAAGAGTTCTGTTGTTAAGTAGAGCGTGTATTCTTGGATCAGACGTGTCAGAGTAGCCATACTGAACATTAACTTCTTAAAGTGCTTATATGAGATTGGGTAGGAGCAATTGATTGCCATTTTATGGTAGGAAAAGAATTTAAAATTTCAAATCCATATTCTTCTATTTTTTGGTATGTTTTTTTTAAACCATGTAGCAGCTTGAGCTTTTTGAGCTGAAGAATATCATTATCAACTTAAGAGGCACTCTGGAATGTTCTTTTTCGCCAGGAGGCTTTAGCAATGACTAAGTGCAACGTGTTCTTTGAACTTAGGGAGTGCTGGCGGCCTTCAGTGGTGTGGAGAACCAAAGCGTTTAGAAACAGAAGCTTCCACCGGGCAGCAGCTGAGCTCCCTCAACTTCTCTTCCCCTTTTGATCTGAATTTCCCACTGCCAGGAGAGAAGGGCCCTGCCTGCCTTGTAAAGGTAATGAAGTCCTGACGGTGACCGGTGGGTTATATGTCTCAAAATTGAAATGGAAACCTCTTGGCATTTATGTGTGTTTTGCTGCTATAATAAATGACAGTAAACCTGAGAGACCTGTGGCGACAGAAGCTTATTATTTTAGGGGTTTGGATCAGAAGTCTAATGTTCCGTCTCATTGGGGTTAATTCCTTTCTCAAGGCTCTAGAGCAGCATCTGGGAGTGAGTTTGGTTTTTGCCTTATCCAGCTTCTAGAGGAGGCTGTACCCTTGGCCAGGGCCCTTTGAAGCTCCATCTTGAAGCCAGCAATAACACACCTGCCTGTTCTCAGCCACATCTCTGTCTGACCATTAGCCAGAACGTCCCCTTCTTAAGGACGTATGTGGTAGCACTGGGCCCACCCTCGTACTCCAGGGTAATCTCCCCATGTCGAGGTCTTCAGTCACACTGGCAAGCCCCTCTTGCGCTTACGGTAACATTGGCAAGGACTAGGACACCAAGTCTTTGAGGGGCCATTATTATGGCTACCACAGCATTTTCAACAGTCAAAAGCAAAAGTGGAACAACTTTTTAATTTATGTCTACTTCCTTCCTAGTGTTATTTCTAGTATGATATCTATTTCATTTTTACCTTTTTTTCTTTTCATATTAAAACCCATTTCTCACATATATTTAAAACAGAAGAAAAAACATTAAAAATTTGTTCTGTCTTGCTTATTCTGGTTTTTTGAAACTGAAAGGGAAACAAGAGTTAGGAAGGAAGTTCAGAAATGATCACCGAGAATCTCCATTTGTGTTCGTTGTGGCTTTAGCTTAAATGGCTCTTCAGTCACAGTGCTGGGGCTGAAATTACCACATTCTCCCGAGTCCTTGCTTGCATCCTGCCTTACAATGGGAGACTTTGACAAAAGCCCCTTTCAACAGACAGTTTTGAAAGTTTGTTGTTGTGAAACATCCCGTGGCCATGCTGTGTTTTGTTTTAATCCCCTAAATGTTGCATGGGTTCTGAGGAAGCCTAACACTGACCATCCTGGAGCTCCGGGTGGGTTTTCCTGCTCGCTGGTGGGTTTTGAGATGCCGTGTGGCCTGTCTCCCGTTCTGGGCAGCCCTTTGTGTGAAGGATGGCTTGTTGAAACGGCACTGGTCGGGCTGGGTTTTTACCTTGCTGACTAGCCGWGACCGCAGGCCAGTACCTTGCCCTCTTGGTCTCCTCTGTGAAGTGCACGGGTCCCTCCTGGGCCCAAGTCTCCGGGGCCCTGGACCTGCAGCGGCAGTACTGTCTGGGCTGCCCGTGTGGGTTCTGACGTCGTGTCTCCTGTGGTTGCCGTAGGTCTACGAAGACTGGGAGGGCTTCAAAGTGAACGACGTCCTCGAGTTGTATGGCGTGCTCTCTGTGGACCCTGTGCTGAGCATACTGGGTAACGAAGAGAGGCGAGTCCGTTTTCTCTGTTTTGTGCATCAGTTTTTGTTTTGGGTTTTTTTTTTTTTTTTATATATTTGTTTTTTACTTGTAGTTGGACATAATGCCTTTGTTTTATTTATTTGTTTTTATATGGTGCTGAGGATCAAACTGAGAGTCTCACACATGTGAGGCGGGCACTCTGCCACTGAGCCACAACCCCAGCCCCTTGTGCATCAGTTTTTATTCTGATATAATCTCACACATGCAGAAAAGTGGCAGGATAGTTAGGAGAACTCCCTCATGCCCTCTACCCAGACTTACTGGTTCTCAGTGCTCGGCCCTGTGTGCTTTGCCACTCATTCATGCTCTATGTACACACATTTGGAGAACATGTGTTGATAAATTGCAGACATCAATTTTTTGTTGTTGTTTGGCACTAATTTGTACTAGGTATTGAACTTTAGGAGCTCTGACACTGAGCTTCAACCTCGATCCTTCTAAAATTTTGAGACAGGGTCTCACTGAGTTGCCCAGGCTGGCCTCAGACTCACGATCTTCCTGCCTCAACATCCCAAGTAGCTAGTAGGAATTTTATTTTAGAATGAGTCTGTGTTGTCGCAGTTGTGTTCTGAAGTTCCTCATTTAACTTCTCTCCCCTTCACTGTGATTCCATGATTCATTTCACATAGGTTCATTTGTGTCTGATTATTTCAGCTGAGTTTTTTCCTCCGTCCTTACTGTTTTGATAAAAAAAAAAAAAAAAGGAACGTTGACGTTGACAAATCAGAACATCTCAGGATGCTGTTCCTGCCATCCCCGTCACATCCCTGTTCCACCCAGCGGGTTTATCCTTCCGATATTTCTTTTTCACAAAAATAGGTAGATTTTTGTATTTTTTTTTTTAATCAGCCCTTTTTTCTTCCATAAAAGGAAGCAAACGTGTATTAAATCATTTGTACTTTTAATTTTTCTCATTTAACAAAATGTAGCAGAAATCCACATCTTCCTCATTATTATTATTTTTTTTAATATCCTTTTAGTTGCCAATGGAGTTTTTACTTTGTTTATATGTGGTGCTGAGGATCGAACCTAGGGCCTCACACATACCAGGCAAGCGCTCAACCACTGAGCCACAACCCCAGTCCCTCATTATTTTTTCTTTTACTGTTTCCCAAAGAGAGGACTACTGTTCCCTGGATACAGTAGAGTTCTCTTGTTGAAGACTAGATATTTATCATGGTCTACAAAGGAAGAACTTACATTTTTCATACTAGATAAAAAAGTTGCAAAGCACATTTTAAATAACGTAAAAGTAAATCTAATAATCTCTTAGTAACAGTCCCTAAAATTGCTTATCTTGGCTATTTATGGCTATGAATACTTTCCTCCTGAATTATTGCTTAGCTTAGAAGTGGGAGCACAGGCTGGGACAAACAGCAGGGTTAGAATCCTCTTTGGCCACTCAGTGACAGTGCAACCTTGAGCTTGGTTTCCTCACTGGAAATAAGGGTAGCTGTGAGCTTTTCATGAATTTGTGTGCCCAGTATCGAATGAATATTGTGTATTATGTAGTATGTGTTAGAATAGTCAAAGATTTTAAAACATTTTAGTCATTTATTTCAATCTCACAATCAATTCATTATATACTAATTTATTTAGCAAATCTGAAAAATGCATGCCATTTTAATGGCTTTTCTACTCAATATTCAAGGAAGATATCAGGTAAGAATAAAATTTAGCAGAGACAAATGATTCTCCATACACTGAAAAATAGCTACTGCATGACTTTTGAGAAAAAGACTCTAGTTTGGAGATATGCGATGAAGTACTTGATATCTCAGTTGGTAGTTCCAGAATGAGTGTGTGTGTCAAAATAACCTTATGAATGACATTCTGTAGCCCATTGATGGCAGTGCTAGTGACAGCATGTCGAGTGGAAACCATCAGTTATGAAGAATGGAATAAGTTTATTCTATCAAACTGTCCTGAAATCTCTTTGGGGAAACTTTTAAGAATGAGGATCCACTTTCTGCTGTCTCAGGAGAGAAGTAGTCTTGGCTTGAATTCTAATTTTGCCTTCAGATATGCACATTACATTCACACCTTTGCAACTGGTGTCTAACACAGGGATGCTTCTGCATTGCTGGACCCTATGGAGTGCACAGACACAGCAGAGGAGCAGAGGGTACACAGTCCTCCTGCCTCCTTGGTGCCAAGAATTCATGTGATTTTAGCCCAGAAGCTGCAGCACATCAATCCGCTGTTACCTGCCTGCCTTAACAAAGAGGAGAGCAGAACCTGTAAGTGTAAGTGAGCCAGACTCTTCCCTCCTAGGTCCAGAGCTGCCTGTGGCTTACACTCAAGAGTGGTGCTGAGTTAGTTCCTCCTCCATCAGAATAGGTGTTTCCTGTAATGTCTGTGCTGGGCCCCGTTCTCCTCATGTTAATTTTCTTATTGAGGGGGAGAGAAAGAGGGTGCAAGCTGTCATTGTCCCAGGAGCACCCTCATTTGTCACTGAGCGGCCAGTGTTCAGGTGCACACCAATTACCTGCTGAGCACAGCTCATTTGCTCCGAGACGCCTAGAGGAGCTGGCGTGTGCTCTGAGTGGCTTTTCTTCCTCCTGCAGTCGTGTCGGCCTTCATGTCCGAGTTGTCTCCAGTCAGAGCAGAGCTGCTTGGGTTCCTCACACACGCGCTGCTGGGGGATAGCCTGGCTGCCGAGTACCTGATATTGCACCTCATCTCTACAGTGTAAGTGCCGTCTGTATTCTTGGTGGGTATTAAGGGCATTTCATTGTGGTGTAGCCAGTGGAAAAGGTCGGGAAGGTTCTGGTGTAACTTATTAGGCTTCACATCTAGTGTTAACAAGTGTTAGGCCAATTCTTTGTTCGCTTCAGTTTTTTGATTATGTCCCCTTAATGTTAGAGCCAAAATCAAATAAAGGGCCTGGCTGATGAGTAAAATGAGCTGCTGCTTCTTTTTTTTTTTTCCTTTTTCCTTTTCCTTTTCTTTTTTTGCAGTGCTAGGGATTGAACCCAGGGCTGGAACATGCTAGACTACTGAGCTGAATCCCAGCCACTTTTTACATTCTGAATTCTGTTTGCACATCCCGAGGCTTTGCTTCTAAAAGACAGTCAACAAGTTACATCATGTGCACATTTTAATTTATACATTGACATTAGCCTCACCCTTTGACACCACTTTGTTTTCTGATTTCAAAAATAATGTGCTCCTTCAATAAGTTCAAGGAACTTGAAGAAAATAGCAGTCATCTGTTATCTCACTACTGGGAGATAATCTCAGGTACCACTGTGGTACTTATTCATGTTTTTATGTATATATATATATATGTACATTGTATATACCAATATAGTTATCAGTTATACCCATATGTTGCCTTTTAGCATTTAATACATATAAAACATTTTCCCATTATAATTCTTCATGAACTTTTTAATGGCTGCACACTGGTTCATTATACAGTTGTGTTGTACTGTAAACATCTCCTAGTTTTTCTCTGTGGTTAACCACAACATTGTAGTAAACAGCTTGGTGCCATGATTCTTACTTTCCTCTGGTGGGATCTAAGATAGTGGTATGTAATGACTGAGAGCTCAGATATTGGAACCAAACTGCCTGATTTTTGAATCTCGGCTCTATCAGTTTCTGACTAGACGAGCCTGTTACAGGTCAAATATCTCTAATCCCCAAACTGGAAATAATCCCAGCTCTGAAACTTTTTGAGCACCACTGGGCTCTGTTTCAGATTATGGAGCATTATGGATTTTGGATTTCAGATTATCGATGCTTACCCAGTAAAGTCTATGCAAATATTCTAAAATCCGAAGTATTTTGGGTCTCGCATATTTTGAATAATATTCCAACTATACAAGTTCTGTGCCTCAAGATTTCTCATCTGTAAAACAAAAATAATAAAACCTATCTCAGAATGTTTGGAAATGAAATGAGTAAGTGTATAAGTGCTTATAATAATATTGGCTATTAATTTTATTTGCAGTTATTCTGGTAGATCAAATAGCTAGACAAATTCCAGCTGCTTGAGACTGAGGCAGGAGGATTATAAATTTGAGGGTCAGCCTAGAAACCCTACTAAGACCCTGTCTCAAAATAAAAAAGAAGGGACAGGTGTATAGTGCAGAGGTAGAGTGCTCCTGGGTTCAATCCCCAGTACCACACACCAAAAAAGAAAGAAAAAGCTAGCCTGAATATTATTCTATATTTTTAATGATAACAGTAAGCTAATTTTTATTTGCTTTTTAATGAAATCAGGAAGTCACTTCAGTATCTCATTTATTGATTTATTTTTCTTTCTTTCTTTCTTTCTTTTTTTTTCTTTTTTCTTTTTTTTTCCCTAGATATACAAGAAGAGATGTTCTTCCACTAGGAAAATTTACAGTTAACTTGAGTGGTTGCCCACGGAATAGTACCTTCACAGAACACTTATATCGAATTATTCAACATCTTGTTCCAGCAGTAAGATCAATATAAATACTCATCATAAACATAAAGCACACCAAAAATCTTTCTCATTGTCTTCCATTCAACCCACATACCTAAATTTGAGATTTTAGTAGCTGTCACTTAAGGAGAAACAAAGCCTGCCAAGTTACATGATTGAAAGCATGCTCTCTCTCCTAAACGTCCCACATTTCTTGCGTTAGCACAAATTTCTGTAAGTCTAACAAGTCACACAATCCCAGTAACTCTTAAAATTGTACTCTCAGTCAATGCCAATTTGTGCAATTTGGTATCCTTTGCATTAAAATCTTTAAATGAGCTCTAAATTATAGGAACCTCCTCCTTTTAGCTAAGGTAATTTAAAAAAAAAAAAAAAAGACCTTCATCTTCATTGCCCCAGTTTCAATTGTTATTTGGGAAGTTGAGCTTTCTTTACTTGCCAGGTTATCTGGAGTACAGTATTTCTGTGTGTAAGGATCTTGGGAACAGGGGAATTGCGTCTGACACATCATGTGATAGAAAATACTGATCCCCTCTTGCTTTGGGAATGTAAGAGTTTGGTCTGGATCAGTCATTGAACCAGTTTATTGAGTGTGTCTAAGTGCTAGCATTTTTGCAGATCCTTAAGGAGCAGTGACCAGAATAGATGAGCCTTTCTCCCTCTGATAAAGTCCTAAGATGCAGAGAGCTATTTTATGTTGGGTGCATGTATCATTAATTTCCCACATTTTAGAAGTAAAATTGAAAATGTTAAAATAATAATTACATACAAACATAGGTGTTTTATTTGTAAAAATAACTTTTCCCAAATTAAAAAAAAGAAAAAGTAGTAAAAATGACCTTTTTCTACATTTTTGCTAATCTCTTTAATATCTAAATTAATAGGAGATCCCTGGATTTTTTTTTTGTCATTACATTCAGTCTGTTATAATGTGATGTTTTGATTCTTTTTTTTTTTTTTTTTTGAAGGGTAGTTGGAATGTGTAATTTTATCTGCTGCAGTAAAATTCATTAGTCTTAATCTTGTACATTGAAAATATCTGGGTAAAAATCATAATTTTTATCTCATAGGCCCCATTAGAGAGTCTTGGCAATTCCCTAGGTTCTGTACCACTTTATGGGTGTGGGTGTGTTTGTGTATCATTGGGAGCTGAACCCAGAGCAGAGGCCCTCTACCACTGCACCACACCCCTACCCCCTTTTTGTTGTTGTTTTGAGATAGGATCTTGCTAAGTTGCCCAGGCTGGCCTCAAATTTTAGATCTTCCTGCCTCAGCCACCCAAGTTGCTGCTGGAATTACAGTTGTGAGCCATGGCACTCAGCTCTCTACCACTTTTCAGTAGTTACTGAAATAGATCCCTTGCCCTCATGGAGCTTAAATTTTTGTGGTGAAAGACCAACAAATAAATTAATCTATGGTATGTCATTTATGTGCCCTATAGAATAAAGCCCCAGGAGGATGAGACAGAGTCCTGGTAGTGGCCCAGGACAGAGCTACCAACATTCATAGCATGGGCAGGAAAAGCCTAGCTCCCAGGATGCCTCCTGACAGAACTCGGGGGAGTACAGTGACAGACCTTGGGGCTGCTCAGGGGCTGTGCAGAGAACAGATTCAGAGCCACCAAGGAGCGTGTGCTTGGCAGTGTGAGGAATGCCAGCATGGAATGAGCCCTAGGGAAACCGAGAGGCAACCCGAGGCCACTCAACTGGGAGGCCAAGGTTTAAGTAGCACATACGGAGGGCAAGAGTGAGCATCCTTGCATGTTATCAGAGGAAAGTGCTGTAGGTTCTAATGTGGTGTGAGCTTTCCCCTTCGTATTCTCTTCCTGCACCACTTTGGAGGGCATTTGCTTTTTCACTTTACCACATCCCATCACCTCCTGTGTCTAGAAGCACTTCCTGCACACTTGGCTATTTACGGTCTTACGTAGCTTTCACCGTAGGTTATGCAAGAATGGCCTGCCTGTGCTCTGCAGTGCCAAGCCTGGCTCCCCACCCCACCACATATGCTGCTTCTCAGGCTGAGTCTAGAAAAGTGAAATGCATTGAGGGCAGGGCCAAGGGGCACTGGGAGTGCTGTGGGCCAAGCATAGAGGCAGTGTCTAGGGCTTGGCGGATTCCTTGCTCTGGCAGACTTGGGGCAATAGCGGTGAGCCCTGCAGCACCAAGATGGTTCAGTGTGCTCTGCTCCTTGAATTTTCTTTCAGCACTTCCATTCAAAAGTGTCTGTAGTAGTCAATGATGAATGAATATGATTTTCATCCAAAGAGCATAGTGAAAAATGATGAGCTTTTCTCTCCCTTTCTTGAAGAATAAAATACTTTGTTTTGCTAGCTTGTGTTATGGGAAGAAGTCAATTGTCTACCATTTGTCACCGACAGAATAGAACTGATTCTTTAAGACTATTGAATAAGACACTTGAATAAAGCTGCTTCCAGAGTGAGTGAAAATCCAACACAGGAAATAGCTGTATCTGTGTGTCTCAGAGTTCTAGAGGTCATGTCACATTACTCCCTTAGAAATATATAAGATCATTCTATCTGAAAAAAGTTTTTGACTCCAAATACATGCTTTCTTACAACAGGAAACTTCAATCCTTGCTCATTAAAGCATTTCCCTTGCAGTCCTTTCGCCTGCAGATGACTATAGAGAACATGAACCACTTAAAATTCACTCCTCACAAAGACTACACAGCCAACCGCTTGGTCAGTGGACTCCTCCAGCTGCCCAACAACACTTCCCTCTTCATCGATGAAACGCTCCTGGAGCAAGGGCAGCTGGACACCCCAGGTATGCACATGGACGCCCCCTGTCACCCTTTTCTGGCTAAAGTTAAGCCTGGTAATGACTTTTCAAAAGGATGTCTGTGGATGAAGACAGATGTGTATTGGAAAATATTTCAGATGAAGGCTTGGTGTGTGCATTTAATTAAACATCATAAACTGTGCACTCAACTATTTAGTCTTCACGATTTTTAAAGCAGTACATTAGCACAAGTAGCTTTTTAAAGGCTGAAATGGGAGGTTTTGCCTTTAATCTGCTACCTCATAGGAGAGGTATAGAGAAGATGTAGTAAAACATTTGATATCTCCCGTTGAACTTTTTAAACATTTTGTAGAGAATCTTTGAAAAAAATATTTAATGGATCAGATGGTTTGAACTAACCACACTTATGGAGCATGTTATAAAATCACAAGAAAGTGGATGCCTTATCTTGTGCTCAGGTGAAGAGAATCAAGATGGCACTGTGCTGGTGATCAGTTCAGGAGGTAAAAATAGAAGAAACAGTACTGTAGGCTGTGTACACCTCAGGCAAAGGTGAGAATAGTCCCAGTCAAATTGAGTAAGATCACTGTAGCCCTGTGACCACACCACCTAGGAAGTGACCTCACTTGCTGGGGTCCCATTAGTATCCTGTGGTGGATCAGACATTAGGCATTAGGGTGAGTATTCTTTGTCCCAGGCAGCTCCAGCAGGCCTCATGCTGTCTGTCTGTGGAGCTCATCACCTAGTGAATGTTTGCTTGGGGACACTCAGCTTATAAATCGGTCATCCCTCATAGTCTTTATTTAAGCAGCACAAACCTCACGTCTATAATCCTTGTCAGCCAAACTAATGTTCCTATGATTAAGATCAAGTGACTGAAAATGATGTTCTTACTCTTCTAGGTGTTCACAATGTGACAGCTCTGAGCAACCTAATAACCTGGCAGAAGGTGGACTATGACTTCAGTTACCACCAGATGGAATTTCCCTGCAGTATCAATGTACTGATTACTTCAGAGGGGCGGTCACTCCTCCCGGTAAAAAGAGTCACTTTTAAATGTAGATGGCCATGTTTTTGTTTTATGTTGGTGTTGCTTCTAAGTTCTATTTCTTCATTGTGGCTGCTGACTATTAATAAGGGAATAAGTTATTTTGTTCCTGCCTTGGGATGGAAACTTACAGCTACCAAGAAGCAGCCATCAGGAAGTCACAGGATCACCTGGCTATTAGCACAGACATGCCCCCATCTGAGCGTACAAAGTAAAAGCTGTCTGCAGGTGGATTAACATCCAGACTTCCGCTTGATTGCCTTTGTCCCATTATTTTCTGTCACGTACATGAGAAATAGTTTAGCTTTCCTTATTAAAGTCCCTAATCACCTGATAATGAATTTTATACTTTATGGTGAAATGGAGTAGCTGATCAAGAGGTTTGAATTTTGAGGATGATGAGAAATACATCCCAGGTATTTAAAAGGTGTATAGCTACTCTGTAGAGTTCACTTGTGAACATGAGGAATAACCTTTGACATTAGTAAGTTTTCTGTGGAAAAGTACAATAAAAAGTTAAATTGGCCAGGAATGGTAGTGCATGGTGGTGCATGCCTGTAATCCCAGCAACTTAGGAGTCTGAGGCAGGAGGATCTCAAGTTCAGGAATAGCCTGGGCTGGGCTGGGGATATAGGTCAGTCGGTAGAGTGCTTGCCTAGTGTGCCCAAGGCCCTGGGTTCATTCCCCAGCACCATTAAAAAAAATAATAATAATAATGATAACTGCCTTTTAGAGATGTCCACCTTTTTTTTTTTTATATTTATTGATACCATTGAGGTTTTTTTTTTTTTTTTTTTCCTTTCCCCTTTTGCAGTACTAGGAATTGAATCCAAGGGTACTTTACCACTGAGCTACATTCCCAGACCTCCATTTTTTGGGGTACCATGGATTGAACCCAGGGGCTCATAACCACTAAGCCACATCCCCAGACCTTTTTTATATCTCATTAGAGACAGGGTCTTGCTGATTTGCTCAAGGCCTTGCTAAGTTGCTGAGGCTGGCTTTTAACTCACAATCCTTCTGCCTCAGCCTCCTGAGTCTCTGGGATTACAGGCATGTGCCACCACACCCGGCAAAAGCTAGCCTCAGTAATAATTGCTGTGGTAGTTATAATGTATGTAAATCATATTAAAAACGAATTCCCTTTCGCAAAATTAAGTGGTATTTCCTAATTCCCTTGGAAGCTGATAGAGCATGCAGCTTCTGTACATGTAGCTTAATCTAGGAATTTGAAAAATACTGGGTCCCGTTTCTCTTTTCAGGCAGACTGTCAGATTCATTTACAGCCTCAGCTAATCCCTCCAAACATGGAGGAGTACACGAATAGCCTCCTCTCGGCGGTGCTGCCTTCTGTGCTGAACAAATTCCGCATCTACCTGACCCTTTTGAGATTCCTGGATTATAGTATATCTGATGAAATAACCAAGGTACATTCAAGTTACATCAAGGATTTCCCTGTGTAAATTGTAATGTTTTGCCAATTTACATTTATTATTACAGATGGGGTAAATTTGCTCTTTGCTTTCTATGTCTTTCCTTTTTCTTCCTTTATAGTCTTTGTTTGAAATAGATATTGTTTTCTGCTGTCTCATTTTATTCCCTGGACTTTTTTAAAAATAATATTTTCTTAGTAGCTTCCCAGAAGCTAAAATTATTAATATCTTTTTTTTGGCGGTGCTGGGGGATTGAACTGGGGGCCTCACACATGCTAGGCAAGTGCTTTTCCCATTGAACCACATCCCCCCGGCTCTTAATATCGTAATTATATAATCATTTAGGATTAATGGTCAATTTAATTATAAGAATACACAAAAATTTTGCTTCTTGATTTTTTTTATCCATGCTATTGTCATAAAAATTCCACCCTTATGCATTGATAATTATTACTTTACATACCTGCCTTTTAAATCAGGCATTTCTGCTGATCTCTATTAACTGTGCAGTTGCCTTTGCTGGTGCCATTTGTTTCATCCTGCGGGTTCATGTTCTTGTCTAGTGTCCTTTCATTTCAGCCTAAAGAACTCCCTTTAGTGTTTTTTGTAGGACACATCTGTTCATGAGAAAGATTTTGCTTATCTGGTATTGTCTTTTCTCTCCCATGAAATGGGTATTGAACCAGGGACACTCTACCCCTGAGCTATATCCCTGGCCCTTATTGTTTGAGACAGGGTCTCACTAAGTTGCTAAGACCGGCTTCAAACTTGTGATCCTTCTGCTGCAGCCTCCCAAGTCATTGGGATTTCACTGCACCTCGATGGGATTGTTCTCCTTAAGGCTAATTTTGCTGAATGTAGAATTCTGGGTATTATCTTTTTCTTAGCCCTTTGTGTCTTTTCACTGCCTCCTACTTCTGTTCTGTGGTTTCTGGTGACAGGATCCTTCGTACATGATCAGTCATTTTCTATAGCATTCAAGAATATCTCTGGGTTTTTTGTTTGTTTGTTATTTCCAATTATTGTGTGTGTGTGTATGTGTTGCTGCAGAGCAGATCCAGAGTCTCAAATATGCCAGGCAAGGGCTCTGTGCTCTGCCACTGAGCCACAGCTCCCACCCCAACCCTTGTCTTGTCTGGCTTTGCCATTCTCTCTCTAGTAAGACATGTTCTCTTAGTTTCCTTTAGTTTATACAGTAGCCCCTCCCCCCTTACTTACGAAAGATTCATCCCAGGATCCCCAGTGTGAGCCTGAAACCACAGATAATGCTCTCTATGACAGGATTCATGCATTAAGCACAGCAAGAGATTGACAACCATAATTGATGAGAGAACATTTATAGCAATATACTGTAATAAAAGTTCAGTGAATGTGGTCTCTTCCCCTCTCAACTGCCACAGAGCAGGTGGCATACACAGTGTGAATATGCCAATGAAGGATGACATGTTCCAAACAGGACAGGGCAAGATTTTGTCACAACACTTAGAATGGCTCACAATTTAGACCTCTTTTTGGACTGCAGGTAAAAGTGCACCATTGTACGTGGTCTCTTTTACTTCTCTGAAGATATTTAAAATAACCAGTTTAAAATGTTTGTCTAGTGGGTCTAATATTTGGGTTTCTTCAGGAACAGTTCCTTTTGACTCTTTATTCTCATTTCGTGGGCTGTGTGTACCTTCATCTTTGCATATCTGATTTTTGTTGATGATCAGACATTTCAAATAACATAATGTGGCACCTCTGTTTTAGAAACTAGGTTCTAGGGTTTGTTGTGTGTTAGTGCTTTTAGATTTATCCCCCCCCCTTTGTTTTAGAAACATTTAAAAAATATCTTTTAGTTGTAGATGGACACAATACCTTTATTTCGTTTTTTGTTTTTTTTTTTATGTAGTGCTGAGGATCAGTCCCAGTCCCTCATGCATGCTAGGCAAGTGCTCTACCACTGAGCCACAATCCTGGCCCCCTTTCCCCTCTTTTTGAGGTTCTAAAGATCAAACACATTGCATGTGCTAGGCAAGCACTTTACCACTAAGCCATGTCCCCATTGGTGAGTCTTCCCGGAAATCACCAAAAAGGTCAGATAATGACAGTTCTCTGGCAGCCCTGCTTTGAAGAAACTCTGGCCCTGTTCTGTGCTCTAGTCTGCCATTTTTGAAGCTATCACCAGGGGGCCCCCGGTATTGTAGAATATGGAAGTAAAGCAAGTTAAAATGCCACAAAGCTCATCTTTCTACCAAGAATCACCTCTTTTTCCTTCATAAATGTTCCCTAGATTGCTGCTAGGGTCACGTTTATTTCCAGAGGTTTGAAAAAGCAGATTCTGATCACTGCTTTCTGCAGTTTTCATGGATGTCACTCTTCCCTATTCAAAGGCATCAGTTGTTAGGCAAGTTGCTAATTTGTTTCACCTTCTCATTTTATTTTGTTTAGAATATTTTCATCAGTAGCATTTTTCTGTGTGTAAAATTTCAGTTCTCCATCCTTTTTTTCCATCTATATTCTTGTTTGTCTAAGAGGTGGAGCTGACTTCCTCATTTTTACATTAATTAAAGGACCAAGTATCTTATTTCTTACAAAAATAATGGTTTTAAAGTACACTTAAGGGAGTTTTAAAGGAACCTTATAAAGTACATTTACTCTTTCAATAAAGGCAGTTGAAGATGATTTTGTGGAAATGCGAAAGAATGACCCTCAGAGCATCACTGCTGATGACCTCCACCAGCTGCTTGTGGTAGCGCGGTGAGTAGTATATATGCTCATAATTGCTTTTTCTGAAAGCTGTGCATTTATTTAGCAGTAACTCAGACTTCTAAAAACAGCAGAATTTTTTTCTTTTTAAACAACGCCTTCTAAAGAAGGGATTATTGAGGGGGAATTCTGTTTGGACAGTTGCCTCATAAATGGAACAGGAATGCTGCTTATCCTCTAAGCTTCAAAGAGCCAGCTACCCTCCAATTCTTGCTCTTCCGGGAATTCCTTGTAGGGTCTAACCTAGCTCTTGACTTGTGTGTAGGTGGTCTTCGTCTGGACTGTGGGGGTTTTTTTGTGTGTGTATGCTTTTTTTTTTTTTTTTTTTGGTACCCGAGATTGAACTCAGGGCCTCTGAGCCACATCCCTAGCCCTTTTTGTTTTTTATTTAGAGACAGGGTCTCGCTAAGTTGCTGAGGCTGGCTTTGAACTCGCAATCCTCTGCCTTAGACTCCAAAGCTGCTGGGATTACAGGTGGCAACACTTGGACGATTTTTTTTAATAGTATTCCTAGATCTTAAAATTTTTCTTAGACTTAAATGTGTTTCTGTTTCAAACCAGGTTTCTGTCTCTCAGTGCTGGGCAGACGACACTGTCAAGAGAACGATGGCTAAGAGCAAAGCAGCTCGAGTCTTTAAGAAGAAACAGGCTTCAACAGCAAAAATGTGTGAATGGAAATGAACTTTAAAGTTCTGATACCTATTTGAGTAGTAATGGGCAAACTGTAGCCACGTTATTGTAAAATTCAAATATCATTTATACCACAGTTTTATACATAATTTGTATCAAAACCCAACGACTTTTCCTGAAATCAAGCCTGGTGACATCTGAAGTTTGTATGATACTCAGTGAGGGCTTTTACCTTACTGATTTTATGGAACTTTTGAAGTTTTGTTTTATAATGATATAAATTAGTAATGGTGTACAAAAATGTATTTGATATTAAAAGTTTAATATTGATAAATGTTGCTGAATATACCTATTTCCTTAGCTGCAGCTAAGTCATAGGCCAGACTCTGTTCAAATGCTAATGTTAACTTCATTTGAAGAAAATTATTGTAATTTCAAAGTTGGAGGGATTGTGCTCTTGAGATTTCTATGTCTTTCTAATTAACAGTGGATTTGAGTATGTTCAATAGTCAAAGTTTGGTGAATGGACATACTTGCTAGATTCACGGGTGAAATCCTATAGTATCATTTCCCAGATATTTGGCCACAGAAACATTCTTACAGTTATTAGCCTTTTACATGGCACTGGTACCCAGATTTTGCATTTTATGGACCAGTAAAATTCTGAAAATTTGGGGACAGGGTTGTCAATTTATTTTGGCAAGTAATCTGAAAGAAATCATTGTGGATATATTTGAGGTTTTTTTTTTTTTTTTTTTACATAAAAGGACAATCTCAGAATAAGAGGTAGTCTTTTAAATGGAATAAATATAGCTTTTTGAAGAACGCTATATTGTCCTTATGTTTCTCATTACATCCCAGTACATTTGGAAACTACTATTTTATGGGACTCACTTAAGGGAACACAAACAACCTAATGAAGTTCTGCTTAAAAAAAAAAAAAAGAATCTAAGTAGACTTTAAAAATATTTTTTAAAATAACTCTTTAGGAAAAACTTTTTTTTTTAATGGTGCTGAGATGGAAGGTAGGGCCTCACCTCTGTTAGGCAAGCTGCACCACTGCACTATATCCCCAGAAGAGAAAAAAGGATTTTAAAACTAATAAATGGCATTTAGTTACTTTAAAGATTGGATTTTGAGACATAGAAGTTTATCAGTTCCAAATGTGCTGGATGAAGAAATATTATCTGCTAGTCCTGTAAAGGCCCAATGCAAGGTTATGTTTTCCCCAGACCAATTGGTTTTGATGTACAAATCTTTAAAGGAATGAAATATTACTAATATGTAGAAAGCAAAATAGTATCATTGTGGCAACAAGAGTCTTTAGAAGGGTTAGAATGTTTTTTTAAGCTCCCAATGGTTTATATAAATCTAGTAACTTACCTCATTGAAAACAGATCAATTAAGTCCTTAAATTTTTTTTCATGTAAGGAAGGCTTAAGTTGACATTGATTTTAACCAAGAAAACAGGGTCAGCCTTGAAAAGTCAAGGAATTCATTATGCCTAATGAAGGGAAGTAAAAATTAGTTGTTCTTTTCCTACATTTAAATCTATTTTTATAAACTAATGTAAATAATGTTTATATTAGAATTCTAACTGGTTTTCATTTTTATAACTGGTAGACTACACCTTCCTTCAACTTTCAGAAATAAAATGAAGGCTCAACTGAATCTGAGAATGAAAAACATTATCTTTGTCCTAGAACAAAGTAGGTTAGTTTCCATGTGTCTTGACTGTGCCAATGTAAATGATAATCTACCAAAGAAATCATAATTTTGCTTGATCTTGCAGAAACGTTCCCTTGAAATAAAACTTCCCTAATTGTCAGTACCTTGGACTGTTTTTCATGAATTATGTAAGATATGATCTATGTGGACAAGCCCTGTGTTCACTTGGAAACACATTACAGGGTGATTTTAAGTACAGGAGGTGGTACAAATGCTCTCCTGCCCACGACCCACCCAGGCAGATTACACACTCTCCCTTAGGAACACACACATTCAGATTTGTTGTTCTTATTAAAGGCAAGATTATTAATCCAGACATTATATGTCCTTGTTTTAAACATTGCCTTAACTTTAGTTTTCAAAAAATCTCTTTGGAATTCATTTCTGTGGAACTTATATATGCTTATTTTCTCACCTGATCTTGGCTTGTATTTTTACTTGTGTTGTAGAACATTATTTTCAAGACCAAGTTGGTAAGAACAGAATAAAGCATTCAGTTTTGAATGTTTGGAATTTAAAAGTACTGTTTGATTCACTTTCATCATTTTCAAAATCATGAGAATACTTCAAAGAACTGAAATAACACTCAGAATAAGTATGCAGTTATAACAAATTTACCACTTGTGAATTCTTTAAATCAAACCCTTGATCAAATGTCATGCAAGGAACTCTCACACATTATTTTAAATTACAATGGTACTTTATTTTAATAGTCACAAGATTTGACACTTCAAAAAAAAACACCACTAATAAATAACAAACGTGGAATGCTTATTAAAGTCACAGTAGACATAATGTTCAGCCGAGAATTGCTTTGAGATATCAGAGAAACCAATACTTGCTGGAATATGCTGTGTAGCTTTCTTACTATTTGGGTTATATAGAGGCCCCGGTTCTTTGTGGACAGGGTTATGGTCGAAAAACCAGTTTCAGCACAAGCTGTGCTTCAGACTAAATTTTCAATAGTTGCGACAGTCTGCACAAGATGTTGAAGAATGCCCCCCCGGAAAAAGGTTAAAATTTGAAAACTTCCTTCTAGAATTTCCAGTAGCCAATATATTCTTACATCCCTGAAAACAGAGCAAAATGAAATTTAATAGATAATGCCATTCATATTGACAAGACAGGTTTATATTATACTTGGCAAGTGTACATTTTGGGGAATATAGGCAGAATATATTCAAGTTGGAACGTGGGAAAAATCAGGACCAAATGAGAATATGTTTCTTGACCAGTGTCAAAAATCCTCAATCAACTTCCTAGAAAATGATTAAAAGCCATCACAACTGAATAATTTTATTTCAATATTCAGATGTTTCTCCACACTTGGAACACTAAAGTTACTAAAAACTAAAGTGTATGATCCACCTTGTAGAGGTAATGCATAGGAATAAACTGACAACAGAAAACTGCTGAGCCTTTAAATGGGTCAATGTCTAACCTTTACATCTGCTTCCTAGAGTCCATTCCTCTTTTCCCTCTAAAAACCAGTTCAAGTTGTTCTGAAGTGACCTGTTACAGAATATAAACCGTTCAGGTCTACAGAATCTAGGATTTTGGATTTCTAGCCTTGACTCCAATTTGGAAACCTCAGGTTCAGACTTCTTTAAAACCCTTCCCAATGAAACAAAAATTTGTAATCCGTAGATTAAGACATACAAGTTAAAATAGCCTAATATGTGAAAACTCCTTTTTGAACTTTCAAATAAAAGCCAAAGGCTTCTTTGTGGCCAAAATCTAAATCTGAATTATTCGTGTCTGGCATTGTGTAAACATATTTTTAAGTTCCTTTTGCTGGACTTCGTTAACTACTTCTGGCTCTGCAGGACTCTTCTGAACTTTAGCTACTGCAAAGTTTATGCCATGGGTTAACCCAGCTTGTGTAATACTAGCAACCTGGACCATGGAACTGCGAATCTTTGCAAAGGGAGAGACTGCTCTGCTGCTACTGCTCTCTGAAGGAGAAGGAGTTACATGAAGCCCTGACTCAAGTTCCAACATGCCTGAACCAGAACCAGGGGTCTTTTGAAATATAACAGAGTGCACTGGTTCAACTGACAAAAACTGCGGGCCTGTTGCAGAAAAAGACACATCTAATTGAGATGGTCGAGAAGGTATTAGTTCTGCTGATTCTGATTTGGTTTCTTCATTAGAAACCTGATTGCTCATATGATTTCCTTCCTCACTAGCTTGCTGAGACACACACCTGATCTCTGATAGCTCCGTCATTTTGTTTTGTGCATCTTGCACAAATCTGTGGCAATAAATATCCACAGGCTTGGCAAAACCAGTCAATATATGTATATTGTCAGCAGAAGGACTTTTTTTCAAAGGAGACACCCGGCCTTTTCCAAGCCCACTTCCATGAGCAACAGTAATGTCTGAAAGAGCATGAATGCTAACATCGGTGCTGCTGATAGACTGGGATCGACTGCCTAATCGAGGTGCTGAAGCAATAATACCACAACTAGGAAGAACATAATCTACTGGCCCTACACTCTCTAAAGAATTAGCTAGCTGCCTGTCTTCATCAGACTTGGAATTTGTAAGAAATTCATCAGAGTGGTACGAGTCATTATCTGAAGACATGTCCCCATCAGACTCTGCCTGGACCTTATTGTCCATCACTCCTGAGTGTTCCAAAGTCTCAAGACTACTATCTGATTTCCAAAGATTGACTTTTAAATTTGGTTTTAGAAAGTTAACTTTCATTTCAGGTTTCGTGAAGTTTCCTAACTTTCGAAGGGTGCCAATATTTACATTGGATTTGGTCTGCTTCACTTTTTGATTTAGAGATGAAAATTTGCTCATTAAAAAATTCTTCCCCTGGGCCAAAGAGCCTTGGTTTTGAGATCTGATACCAATGATGTCTTCGTGAGGTTTACTGCTCTTCCTATAAATTAGAAAAGAAAAATGTCAATTGTCCATGGAATCCAGTATCACCATTCTAATAAATGAAGATGATTTGCTTATTTAAATTGATTCTGATTCTATGAAAACTGCATCCTTTAATTGATAAGCCAAAATAACTTCTTGGGATTTGACAATAAAATAACACTGTCTGATAGAAATATGAGAGCTACTTAAGAAATTTAAATGTGGTTTCCCCCATTCTTCCCTTGGACATGCCTTTAAAGAACTAAGACCTTGGATAATAATGTCTTTATTCTTGGAAGAAAATCTTAGAAGTGGTATGCTCACCTCTCAAGTTTTTTCTCAATTATAGGTACATCCAATCCCATAGCCTGCTTGGTTATCTGAAGCATCTCTGCAATGCACTGAAGGGTATCTGAAACCCAAATATAACCACTTAACATCTCCAAAAACATACAAAACATACTAAAAATAAAGCTGCTCAAATTCATACAAGCTTGACTAAAATCTGTGGTCATGCACTTAAATACAGGTTTAAAAATTGCTACTTGTTCACTAGTCCCCCCACTAATTTAAAATGTTCTAAAACAAATTTTAACAGAAGATATAGAGAATCCATTCAAAGAAACTCCCTGTGATCCTGGGAACAGAGTTCGTATTTAAAGGTCTCAGATCACAATGCTGGACCACTACACTGTAGGCAATGTCCCAAATTCCATTTGGACTCAGAAGAATAGAATATATCAAGCCCACTGCTGAATATTTTTTATATCTTCCTCTTTTTTACCTTTTCCATCTTCTTCTGGATTACGCATTACAGCTCTCAGTGTATGGAAATAACCACTTGCTTCTTTATATCTGTAGTGCAGTCGCATGCAGGAGAACTTTGGTTTACCAAAGAGTGTGGGTTCAGGACCTAAAAACCCAAATGAATACATGTAAAGTTATACCTTTCACATGACATTCACTTTCCTCTGTCACTTCAAAAGATCAACAAAACATTCATCAACTAGGTAGGTAACAAGTTTTCATAATCTAAATGAGAATGTGCAAAAGACAAGCTTATCGTGACCTTTTGATTTGATGATATATAAAAACTCTTTCAGTCTCAATTATTTAAACTTGATCCCTGGTGTTATCTTCACAAGGCAAAAATAATAGAAACCCAGTTAATATTATCAGACTATCTATCACTACTCTCTAAGACTAGAAAAGAAGTCTAAAGACAAAGACTACTTGAAATATCCTCTTCTGGTTTCTATCAGATACTTACTCTACCAGTCACTTAAAATAATCTGACCTACACTTGGAAGCAACAGAGTTGGTTAGTATGTTAAAATTTACCTATTTCTATTTTTTCCAGGCCTTCTAGACTCAATCGTTGATATTGGCTTACTTTATCAACTTCATCATCATAACTAGGAAGAGGGAGGAAAAAAAGATTACAATTAAAAGCATTTTTCAGCCAACAAGCCAAATATAACTAGTAAACTACTACATGCAGTTAAAATAAAATCTTCCCTAGCACAATAGTCTGGAGTAGAGTTAAAACATAAGAAATATTTTCTAAACAAGAATAACACATATAGTTTAACAGCTAAAGAAAATTGGCTTATAGTTCTTACACTAAAAAAGAAACCAATTACAAGGCAAAAAAAAATTATGTTACAAAAATTTTAAAAAACAAAACCAAAAACCTAACCTAAAATGAAGGCAGAACACTCAAAACTACTTAGAAATATTTTAGCAGATGAAAATTCCATGTGATTTATACCAACAGGCATCTGAAATGAGGACTAAAAATATAATTCTAACAAAGCCAAAAATAAGTAAATATTTATTTAGAAAATATAAATTAAAACTCAATTCTGCTAGAGCATGAGGAAATAATAAAATACTTTTATTTTGCAACTGGCATTGTTAATTGGTAGTCTTTCTGGGAATGGATCTGACAATGAACCTCAAAAGTCATATAATTTCACATATCCTCTTGACCAAAGACAAGCTGGTGTGTGTGCACAGGGACATATACATACAAGTTATCTGTATATGAATAGCTAACATCATTCATAGTATCGAAAATCTGGAGGTAATTCGATACCTAACAATGGGGAAAATAAAATGCTTTATATGGTATGCTGATACAAAATGGAGTATATGAAAATCTGGGAGCTACACAGATAATAATACTAAGCTAAAAAAACACTGTGTGACTATTAAAAAACAGATTAATAATTCTTAAATTTTTCAAACTGAAAAATATTTCAATGAAATTTTATAATAATAAAAACCAGATTCTTTAACATTTTTTGCTATGAATTCTAAAAAAATTTTTTTCCAAATTTAAAAAGAAAATTGAAAGCTCAAAACGAATAAAGCAACTTACTAGGCCACGTAGTAGGCAGAGTTAGAAAGCAGTAGCAGCACATCCACATCTCTATGAGTAGCATCAATGAGGCTAAACAAACATGACACAGGTAATTAAATATCTTCATCTGCATTTTTGGTCAAGCATATTCCTACAGCAGAGTCATTATGACAAAAGACTAGCCAAGTGAACAAAAGAAAAACAATTTGGAGTTAAATGTAATGCAATCAATGCATTTGGAAAATTTTAAAGCAATAAGAAAAAACAGATTTGGGAAGTGGGGGAGGTGGAAAGAAGGACTGGATCTGAGGAGAAGTCCTTTCTCAAAGAGAAGTAGCCAGAAAAGGGGAAAAGGAGGAGTCCTCAGGGAAAACAGGACAATTGGGGGGGAGGTGGTAGGCGGTTAGTGGGAAGATAGGAAAATGTAAGACAGAGGAATCATAGATTACCTCATTGTCTAACATTCAAAACAACACTATAAATTTACGATATTTTACACTCCTATAGAATACATCTCTTCAAAGAGTTTTACATAAATATAACATTTATGTGCAAAAATGAAACAAATCCAAGCTACATTCTATTTTCTCACTATAGATCAAAATAAATAAAAAATACAAGTAACAAACCCGATGAGTGTTGATGGACCATTAAATCAAAATCATAGTAAAATGTATCTCATAAAATAAATAAGGAAACGGTCAAAGTATAAAATCTACAAATTTCTGACAATAGGAAGAATGTGAAAATATGAAAATATTAATCTAATATCAACAGGCTTTCCATTATCAAAAGGTGGTGCATTCTCATTAACTAGTCTCTAAATTCCACCGGAAGAGTGGACATTTCTGTCTTAAGATTTCAAGATTTCATAACAAAATTGCTAGATCTTATAAAAACACCAGTGGAAAAGCAAATGGAAAACAATAGCGGAAAAAAGATTCGTAGATGGAACGAACTTAAGCCACTACTTAATCTGCGTAAGAATGAGGTCATTGTTTAACGGGTACTGCGGGATTTACTAACATCTTCAACTGCAGTCTTCCACATCCGCGGCACCTTGCTGCGGCATGACTCTAGCCGTCATCTAAAACAACAAATGCACCTCAATTTTCCCCTAATAAACTGAAGAACACAATGAGGAAGAATAAGATGCCAGAACCCGATAAAACAGATTGATTCTAAGAGCCAAAATTCGAGCATTATCCAATGAATGGGAAAAAGAAAACCACATATTCAACGATCCAGGGAGCTTCATTGAGAATAATACCGAATAACACAGTAATATGCGATTTCATTTTATGCATTGATACTTACGTGCATTCAGAAAATTGTTGCTTGAGCCAAGCCCAAAAAATACGTCACGACACATATTTTTATATGAAATAAATTCTACTCTACTAATTACAGAGATTACTTTCATCCTATCTTCCTAATTTGGCATTAATATTTACATCAGGCAAACATGATCCTCAGTCTAAAACATTATGTCCTTAATGAAAAGCACTTGGCACATAATAGGCGGTCGAAAAAGGTCGGCCCTCCCCCCACCCGCATTTTTACTGAAGTCTTAACTGCAGTAAATACTTAATTTCCCTCCCCACCCACCCTTACCCCATTAAAAAAAAAAAAAAAGCACTTGTAATACGAACAAGAAAGAAAAAGAAAGACCCCTTAGGTGCTTCCCCACCCCCCACATCTGCAGCCCTGAGGATGCTGCTCTATTCATTTTTGTTTTCCCGCCACTGAGGCAAACCCTCCTTCCACACTATGAAGACAAAAATCGCCAGCACCACATGCAGCCCGACCACCGCGACAATAGTCGCATAGAAGGCGCTGTCTTCAGGAGACATTAACATCAGGCTCTGGAAAAGAAGTAATTTACAGGAAAAATACAACCCCACAGGAACTTTAACCATAAGTCCTGCAAAAAGGAGAAAAATCTTAAAAGTCATGGCAAGAACGCCTTCAGACTTGGGCTCGGCAGCATTGGCGGCGGCAGCCCGCTGCGCGGTTGGTGGAGGCCGGTGGGAGCGCGGCATTGTCAGTCGGTCCGTCCGTCCGTCTGTCCGTCGATGTCTCGAAGCTCAGTCTAGAGCCACCTGCACCCTAGCTCGCGCCTGCAGCGAATGCGGCAACTGCTATGCGGCCGCGCCAAGTCACGCCCAGGGGACACGTCTGGTTTCCGGCCGCCCACTTCCGGCAGTGGCTGATTGGCAGTGGGCATGCGCGCCTTGCTCTGCGCATCCAGCGCCCTCCATGGAGGGCACGGACCCCGGCCCGGTGGGGGAAGGGCGCTGGGTGGTCGGCTCCCGCGATACTTGGCTCGCGCCTTTGCAACGGTCGGCGAGCAGCGGACCTCGGCCGTATCTGACCCAGCAATGGGCCTGATGGAGAGTGGTTATCCCGTGGCTAATCACTCAGCGAAACCTGGTAGGGGCAGCGTCCTTGAGTGTCCAGAGGGCGAGATGAATAGAATCGCTACACACTTGGCTTTGTAGAGTGGCTGAAGGACATATCTGTAGTTTCCTCTCAAATTTAAGGTCCTCTTTCCCATTATCGCCAGACTGTGCTGCAACAACTGGAGGCGGGAAAGGAGGTGGCGGGAAAGGACACAAAAGGCTTGAGAGGTCAGCCCTTACGTGCAGGGGCTGTACGAAATGGCCCTGTTGCGCTGGACAGCTCCCACAGGGCCCAGGCGGAAAAGCGCCGCAGCCCGGGCTCCCGCCAGCCACGGCTTGCCGCAACTATGCTGCGGCAGTGACTGCGGTTTGGCGAGGGAGGCACTGTCTCACGCATAATTAAGGGGATAACACAGGATTAATGCAGTACTTTTAAAAATCAAAATTACTGTAAAAATATGACCAAGACATCAAAAAATTAAGACAGTAAGGGTTTCTGCATTTGTACAATCCTTCCTTGTTTGCCTGACCCTAATCCCCACCCAGATCTTAGTAAAACTTTATTTACAACTCAATAAAAATATAAACGTTTCAATTTAAAAATAGGCATTAAATTCGAATGACATTTTTTCCCCCTAAGGAAGATACAAAAAGAGCCAACAAGCACAAGAAAAAAAAATCCTCAACATTTGTCATTAGGGAAATGCAAATCAAAGCTAAAAAAGGTATACCTTACTTCAAATACACTAGGATGACAAAAAATCTTTTTAAAAGGGCAAAATAAGTGTTGGTCAAGTCTGGAGAAATTGGAACCCTCATACATGCTGGTGTAAGTATGAAGTAGCACAGCCACTGTGGAAAATATTTTGGCAGCTTCTCAAAAGTCAAACGGGATTACCAAATGAGCTGGCAATTTTATGCCAAAATATACCCTCAAATGAACTAAAAATATGTGCAAACAAAAGCTTGAATACAAATGTTCATGCAACACTGTAATAGCCAAAATGTGGAGATAATCCAAAAGTTGTGTATATCCATACAATAGAATGCTGTTCAGTTACTTGAAAAAATGGGGTTTATGCCACAATGTGGATAAACTCCAAAAACATGTGAGATCAACCAGTCACAAAAAGTATTATTCAACTTATATGAATTGTAGACCACTCCATCCCCCATATTTCCTGAGCTTCCAAAAGGGGTTCATGTTGGAATCAGCCACAGAGTGATTTAGTGCCTCTCATTAAAAAGAAATATGACTTCTGATAGACATACCCTTTCCTTCTATCCAAGCCAAGAAGCTAAAACATGATCTGAGAAGCCACCACCTTCAAAGTATCAGCCTCACCATCTGCTCCATCCATCTCATCCTATCCCAAAGCTTCAACAAAAGCTGTTTCCAGCAAAACAATAAGAACAGGAACACACAAAGGCCAAAATGGGCCAGTACTTCAACCATTGTGAGATACAGCCAGTCTGGCTTAGTCAGCCTTAGAGGAGATTCTTCTGGAGAGTCTCAAACTTTAGCTGCAGTGCCTTGAGAATCAACATGTCATTCCCTCAGACACTAACGCTGTCCTGGTTAGCAGTGGGACTCCCCTGCACACCTCTGCCTTAGACCTGAGGCAGCTTCTCTGGATCAAAGAGCTAACAGAACCACTCTCCATCAGGCACTGGCTCCATGTTAGTGGAGAAAACACAAACTTTTACAACCAATAAGACAAGGAAGGTAGCATCTCAGCTGATGATTCTTGGGTTGATGGGAGATCCAGAGTCTTTCAGTATTCCAAAGGTTACCAATTCCAGAGTTACCAAAGACTATGATACAGATGGGCCTATTTTGTACACAAGGAAGAAGATGAAAACGAGGATGGCAGTAGAAGCTTTGGCAAGTAAAAAAGGCAAAGGATACTTTGCATCACTTGATAACCAACCACCTGAGGAAGAATTAGAGGACAAATATATCATGTAATAACATCTGAGGAAGAGAAGGGAATCTAAGGACAAACTAGAAACTAGTCAGGAAACTCAGCAAGAGGCCCACACCTGAATATACCCTAAAACAAAAGAATGAAGAAGTAGAACAAGAAGCAAAATACAACTAAAAAGGGACTGGAATTGTGGCTCAGCAATGGAGTGCTTGCCTCGCACGTGTGAGGCGCTGGGTTCGATCCTCAGTACCACATAAAAATAAACAAAGGTATTGTGTCCATCTACAACTAAAAATATATATATATATATATATTAAAAGAAAATACAACTAAAAGGCCAAATCAACAAAAAGCTCAGCCTGAGATCACAGTGACAGTTACAAGCATGAAGTATCCTGTGACTTAATGAGTATACAGAGATTACTATTCCCCTGTCTGTGACTGCCAGACACACAGTCCTACAAACAAGACAGCAATAAGGACAGAATAAATAAGACTGCATTGTCCATCATGAAATATAAAACTAACCCTGGGTTTCAATTCTAGTGTAAAAATTAAAATATGTATGTATGTAAACACATATACATATATATTTTATATTTTTTGGTACCAAAATATAGTTTTTAAACAAATGGCTTAAAAGAACACAAATTTTTTGCTAAGATGTGTGAGAAAAATCTCACCTCACTTTAAAGGTATGCAAATTCTATCCATACATACAGTATTTACTATCAAAATGAAATCTTCCATGACATTAACGTCATGGAAGTTTTCTCTATGAAGTAAGTCAATGTTACTTTTTATTAATGTTAATATATGTAAATACTATCTTCATTTGATTGTGCTTTGAAGCATATTTAATGTCCCTTTTATTAAAATTACATGAAATGTACAAGATAAAATCTAGAATGCTTTATTCTCGGAGCGGAGCTTGGCCTAGAATTTCCTAAAATGTTTTTGATTTTATAATATTGAAGATTACCGTTTTAGATTTGTGTAAAAGCAAGCAATTTGGTAGATCAATTTAGATTCTGCTATTCACTGATATTTTGAAGAACCACTTGAAACTGGATGCTTTTTGTTCAAAAAAATGTCAAGTATTAGTCAGCCTATTTATTTGATGAAAGGCTAGGACCACTTTATATCCAATAAAAATAATAAGCATCACTTGTATCTCTTATTGCACTCACTTATGTGCATCAATACAATAAACCTAAACTCTGGAGATGGCAAGGCAGGATCCACACTGCCAGCTGCAGGCTGCAGTTGGCCAATATCAATTTTTTTTTTGGGGGGGGGGTAACAGGGATTGAACTCAGGGGCACTCGGCCACTAAGCCACATCCCCAGCCCTGTTTTGTATTTTATTTAGTGACAGGGTCTGAGTTGCTTAGCGCTTCACAAGTTGCTGAGGCTGAATTTGAACTCACGATCCTCCTGTCTCAGCCTCCTAAGCCTCTAGTATTATATGAGTGTGCCACTGTGCCTGGTGGCCAATATCAATTTTTAAAAATCAAATTTGTATTAAAATACTTATTTTAATTACTGAGTTTTTTAGTACTCCCTTAATTTTGCACCCATTGTATCTTTTTTAAATTTAATATTTATTTTTAGTTTTCGGTGGACACAACATTTTTTATTTTTATGTGGTGCTGAGGATCAAACCCAGTGCCCCGCACATGCCAGGCAAGCATGCTACTGCTTGAGCCACATCCCCAGCCACTGTGAGTATCTTAAGTTAGTACTTCAGCAGCAGTCCTGTACTAAAAATTGCCATGCATCATGCATCCACGCCCACAGCTAGCATTAACTGTGACAACTTACCAACATCAGGTTAAGCAGGTTACTTATCAGGACACCATTTCAACTCACCTGGGATCACAATCAATGAGTGCCCAGCCCCCATGGAATTTCTCATCATCAGGCAGTAGTAACTTCATGTAACTTTGTAAGAGCTGACTAATTAGTTCCTGGTGGCTTCTCTGATTTTCCTTATGCAAAGCTTCATGCTCTTTCTCCTTAGTAAATATGGAATAAAGATCTTCTGTCACTGGAATGCCTTGCATCAAATCTAGGGTGGAAGGGTTAATATCTATTATCAATAAGCTAAGTAAGACCTAAAACTCTAAGAAGAATACATAAACATAAATCTTTATAATCTTTACTTGGGCAAGATTTTTTAGATGTGGCACCAAAATCTTAAACAACAAAAGAAAAAATGTGACAATCGTCAAAATTTAAAACTTTTGTGTTTCAAAGGGCATTTTCATGAAAGTGAAAAAGACAACCCACAGAAAGAGGGGAATATTTATGACACATTATCTGATAATACTTAATATACCCAATATTTAAAAAACTCCTATGACTTGATACTAAAAAGAAAAACCAATTTTAAATATGGTCAAAGATTTGTATAGACAAGCTAACTTCCTCCTGAAGGGGCATGCTATGCTGCTGAAGCTTAAATAAATCATTACAATCCCATTCCTGTAAAGAAATTTAGGACAGTGAGCCCTGAGATATCTCTGGGAAAGAACCACTAACCCTACAAAGGGAAGCAACAAGTCAGAACTTCTACTGGCTTCCATCTCTATACCTTGAAGAAAACAAGTGTCAGAATCAGGATGAAACTGGTGGGATGGACAGTTAAATTGAGAGGATGACAGAAGCTGGGTTGCTATATCAACCAGTAGACGCAATAAACTGCTAAAATCAAATTCTCTAGTCATAGCATAGCTCGAACCACCTCCCACCTCCACTCTGGCAAATGAATCAAATTTCTTTATACCAGAATTCTCTAATTCCCAATTGGCTATTGTCTAGGCCCTGGTTTTTCATGTGTGCTTAAAAAAAAAAAAAAAAAAAAAGAATCTGGTTAAAAAAAGAGGAGGAGGGGATAAAAAGATTCTCAGAAACCACAGGTAAGCTATGTTGCATTTGATTCTTTTTAAAAATTTTTTTTAATTGTAGTTGTACACAGTACCTTTATTTATTTTTATGTGGTGCTGAGGCTCGAACCCAGTTCCTCACACGTGCTTGGTGAGCGCTCTACCACTGAGCCACAACCCCAGCCCCTGGATTTGATTCTAATCCAAAACACTCTGCATTTTCCATAAGCCTTAATTTTCCTTTAAAATTCCTCATTTTAAATCCTTAATTTTATAAAAATTAAAGACATGTCAATGCATATATTCTATTGTACAATCTACCTTCCTATTTCCTCTTCTAAATAATGATGAATTGGTAAGGATGCTGTCCAAATCTGATACTCTACTAACTTGTTAAACCATGTTTATGGAAGAAGATGATGTATTTGTCCACCACAAGAACATTTGACAAATGCTTTAATGGGGTAAAAAAAAAAAACAATCTGGTTATATCACTTAGCCTTGAGTAATGGGAAAACAAACAAAATATGAAGTTTTTAGTTGTTGAGGTTTTAAGCAACTTATTCCACACTCCAGGAGCTTCAACTTTGCTTTATGTTACAGGAGTAGCAAACTGACATATATGTATGAAAGTAGATGTTTTCTTTTGTTTCTCGAGCCAAGAATATCAGTCAAATTCTAAATCTTATAAAAATTTAAATCTTATTTATTGGGTAAGAGGTTCAATATAGAAACGCAAGTATATTACAAAACATGAGTTGTGTTAATGAAGTTGATTTATGTAAAATTTTTAGTCACAGAGTAAACTTTTGAGGAAAGAATATAATAAATTTTGAGGGGAAAAAACATTTATATTCCTTACCTATAACAGCTTGCCTATAAGCATCCTTAAACCGATTGAGGTAATACCTATTTGCTGAGTTAACTCCATCTTTCATAACTCCTGCTAATTTCCTTTCCCCTGTTCTTGTAAAGTCACCCTGTTAAAAGAAAAAGCCATTTTGACAATTTATTCAAACATAAAATATTCTCAAAATCAACTCTGGGCTTTCATTTCAAGACTAGAATTATAAAGACTTCTATAATTTCCAAATCCTAACTTTAATAATTTTCAAATAGTGCAGTTAAGGTATTTATTAGTATTTGACTGATTCAAGCATGTCAAATAATTAAATATGCTATTTGTGGCACCAGTTTTCATACTTAGTTGGTATTTTAGGGTTAAGTCCTCCTTGGTAATTCGTAGAATTTCTAGAATTGACAGGCCAAAACAAAAGATTTTCAAGACTTTGGTATGATATTCAAAAACCAAATTTCTGAAGTGTAAAATGTGGATAGTTCCCTAGAATTTATTGTAACAGAATTTAACCAGTGTGTGCATATGTGTAGATGAGTAGAAAGGGAAGACCACGATTTCCATGGATCACTGCACATGTACAACAATCCAAAAAGGGTTTAAACTTCTGTTTTTCACAACAAACATGGCAGAGAAGATCCTTAGAGAGGTAGTAACTTACTTTTAATGCAAGAAAGATGCATTCTTTCTTTTCCCATTCCAATCCCTCTTTCTAGCCAAGACAATCTCAAATACAGGCCTCATCCTTAAACTGAAATTTAAGGACCATGCTCCTAATCAGGCCATTCTTGGGGAATATTTGTAAAGCAATAACTATTACAGAAGACATAAACATGAATCCCAAAGAAGTTTAAAATCAAATGGGGTGGGGGAGCAGTCTTATTCTTTTTTTGTTTTTAAATATTTATTTATTTTTTAGGTGTAGATGGACACAACACAATGCCTTTATTTTTATATGGTGCTGAGGATCGAACCTGGGTCCCGGGTCCCACCCGTGCTGGGCCACAATCCCAGCACCACATTCTTTTAATAATAAAATGTACAAGAACTTCTAAAGCTAATTTTTATATTTATCATTCAATCAAAAAGATGGACTATGTGATGCTTGTTAAGCCTTTAATAGTACAATTTGTAAAAGAAATATCCTGAGATGAACTATTACCTTGAAGGAAAATTAACAAAAACCTAATTTAACAAATTTGACTACTTCCTATTGCCCTCAAAGAGCAATACACACAAAGGCAGCATTTGGTTTCCAGAGAATATATTTACATTTAAAATTTTATGAAGACTAGCTATATGAGATTGTCAAAGACTTATAACAGAAAATAATAAAGTACTTCTCCAGCACTTACTACTTGTTAGGGAATGTTCTAAATTCTTACAAGCATTTAAGTCTATTTCCATGATGACCTTTTACAATATGCCTAGTCTTACTGCAAATGAGACAGAAGCTAAGTGACTTACCCAAGGTCACAGAGTTGAGGATTAGAATTCAAATTCAGCAAAGACAAATTATCATAATAGAGACCTAGTTCTGCCAATAGATATGCTTTGTTTTACTCTACCCAGTTTTAAAATCCATTCACAGAAAATTCCAGATTTCTAGGCTCCCTTGAAAAACAAAGATATAGCAGCAGAGGGCCTCCTAAGGAAATAGTGGACTGGCCCCCTCCAGGAACAGTAAATGCTCTCCTCAGTCTACTTCTCCCTCTGATCTAATGATAACCTGCTTGAGTCACATTACCTGGTAACTGTAGGAATTTGAATGAATGATCTCTGCCTTAGCCAAACATTCCAGAAGGGAATAAACTACACAGACCTGTCATCTGTAGTCTAGATAACTCTCTCACAAAAACAAAGTTGATTTTAAATCATAGTCTAATCTGCATCCCACAGAACAATCCATAATTGCTTGCTGCACACATTCACCTTCAGAGCAGCTGTCCCAGCATACTGTCTGCTAATGGAGTCACCATTGTTAGCCCACATTATCTGGTAGATTCGATTACACTTCACAGGTAATGGCTGCTCCGGGAGCATCACACCTAATTTTTTCAGCTAAAAAGAACACATTGTTAGATTATATATGAGCCTAGAAACCATAGCATCAAATGTGTATTGTATAAAAAGGAAACATATTGACATAAAATTTAGGACCCTTACATTTTAAAAAATTTTTTCTGACATTTTAAAATAAAACACTGTTAAAATACAGCTTTATGAATTACTATAGTTGAATAATATAAGGAAATATCCATAATTTTTTATTATAATTTTCATGGGGGGGCAGGGCTTATCAGGAATTTGAACCTAGGACCTCTTGCATTTGTTATAATTTTTAATGTATTGTCTCACACTATTATATATTAAATTCTTTGTTTTAAATTTGCCTACAAAATAAAACTAAATATCAGAAAAGCACAAGGAAAAATAATATTAACAACAGCAAAGTAGTGACTGCCCAGTAAATGTGAATTCTACTCTAGAGTTCTAAGAGTTTTTTCACATGAATTATCTCATTTACTCATCATAACACTATACACATCAATACTTTTATTAAAATATGACAATATTAAGGTTTGGAGAGGTTAAGGTCTATGGTAGAGTCAAAACCTAGCATGTGATAGAGCCAGACTTAAATTCAGAAGCCTGGCTATTCAAACACTACATAAGATAAAGATTCAGTCACAAGGTTGTATCACGAAAAACAAAACACAAAAATCTAGAAACCATGCTAGGTATTTTCACTTAGGTAATTATTTATTTACTTACTGCAGTAGTAATTATTTACTTACTTACTGCAGTACCAGTAAGTATGCAGGGCCTCTGAACTGAGATCCTCCTGCCTCAGCCTCCTGAGTAGCTGGGGTTATAGGTATATACCACCATAACTGGCTCACTATGGGGATTTAATTTTCAAATTCATTCACTTTAGGAATTTATATAATATAGGAACTTTATTATTTGGGTGTTGGAGGACTGAGAGATCTAAAATGGAACACTGAGGTAAGAGAGATGATAGAAAACAATGAAGGAAATAGCTTCCACCCATAGGGCTAGGATAGAAGGGTAGCCACTTTCTTCAACTTATTTCTAATAAAGTTTGTGGTTTTCAAGTTTTAAAGCAACAGTGATGTTTGTATTCTATAAATGTTCCATAGAACATCTGGAATTTGAAAAAATATTTCATTGTTTATTTATACATAAAAAACATTTAAAAATGATTATTTAGAATGAAATGAATGGACTCCAAGTTACCTGCTGTTCCATGACCACTCGTGCGATGGCAGCTTGGACCACATTGGTGCGATCCAGACAGTCCATGCAATTAACTCGAAAAATCCCTTCTTGTTTACATATTACCCCAGCTTGATCAACCCTTTTCAAAAACAGTATAGGACTAGTTTACAATTTGAAATACTTTAATACATTTTTCAAAAAACAATTTTTTTGGGGGGGAAAGGTACCAGGGATTGAACTCAGGGGCACTTGACCACTGAGCCCATCCCCAGCCTTATTTTTTATTTTATTTAGAGAAAGGGTCTCACTGAGTTGCTCAGTGCCTCACTTTTACTGAGGCTGGCTTTGAACCCACATCCTCCTGCCTCAGCCTCCAGAGCTGCTGGGATTACAGGTGTGGGCCACCATGCCTGGCTCAAAAACCACAATTCTTTAAAGTATAACAATAACAGAGCAGCATTAGTTAGCAATGTTCTTGGAATATCATTATGTGCCAGGAATTATTGTGTCTTTTACAGACAATGTTGTTAATTTACACAGTAAGTTGACAGTGACAAAATTATCCCCATTTTAGAAAACACAGCAAAACTGAGGTACAGAGAAAGAGTGATTTGTCACAAATCATATAACTACTAACTACTAGGCAGAGCTGAAAACAGAGAGCACTTTTAACACCATCTCCTTCCTCCTCTTTCGATTCAAAGTAGAAATGCATCTACACTATCTGGAACAGACTAACCTACTTTACCGCCTAGTGAGGAGTCATGCGGCATGCCTTGTTCCTCTAATTTCTCTGGCCACCTGTTTAGTCTTAAAATCGAATTGAACGTTCTCTCCTGTCCTTTAAGCCATTTTTTTTCTTCCTACATTTACCTCCTGTAGCTGAGAATCATTTTCCTTCTCTGTTAATTTTGAATTGCCTGAAAATTGAGTACCTCTAAATCTTCTCTCCCATGTTAGAGATGGTGAGAAGGAGAAAATGTGTAACCAGAGAGCATGAAAAGGAATAAATGGATGTCCTTAAAGAATAGTTACAGAGCATTTTGCTTCATTTTGCCCAACCACCTGACATCTGTTCCCTGTTCAAAGCTAACACTGCCTACTGATCAACAATATTGTCTTAAAAAGGAGAATAGGAATTGGGAAGCAAAATAAACAAAACAAAAATGCTTTCTTAGGATGATGCTATTATTTTAAAGTTCAGTTGTACTAGACAAATGATTTCACTTGACAGAGCGTTTTTCAGAATACCTTCTTACGAAATACCTACCAACACCATTTCATGTCAAGAATAATGTCATAAATGGCATCTGTTAGGGTTTGAACATTCTCAAACTTCATTCCTCGGCTAAAATCCATGTGAAAGAAAGAAAATAAAAATAAACTTAATTAAGATATAATTTTTTATCTTGGAAAAATAAAGCAATTGTTATTACATGTATATGTGTTACTACAACAATGTATTACATAGCTAATTTTATAACTGTTTATAACTAATCTGCATTATGAAAGAAAGCACACCTAAAGAAAACACCAAAACATATTACACATATCAGAAGCTTCCCTCACCACCAAATCTCCAATATCTAGGCAAATTAACTAACCCAAGTTAGAGCCAGGAGTATGGCAAAACAAAACATCAGCAACAACAACAACAAAAAACAAAGAAAATCCAAAGAACACCCAAAACACCTTGCTTTCAGAATGCACAAATTAAAGACACCTTCAACAGATTCACCAATTGCCATTTTCCAGAGCAGACTCTATAGTTAAGTTAGTTCATAGGGACAGAGTGTGACTAATAGAGTATGAGAAGGTGATTTTTTAATAAGGAAACTCTGTTGTTTCTGCTAGGCTAGACCTAAGCAGAAAGGAAATGCTCTTCAACTGGTATTACAAAGCAAAAATGAAACTCTTAATTAAGTCTCTGTCATTTTAGAACAGAACAATTAATTAAAATATTATTTTAGCCAAAATAAGGTCCATATGAAAATTAAAACAAATGACACTCTTTCCCTAACAAAATTTTTTCTTCCCAGCAATGAAAGGAGAAACAGAAGTCCTTGTGGCAGCATCTATAAATAACACTGCAACCGGGCTGGGGATGTGGCTCAAGCGGTGGTGCGCTCGCCTGGCATGTGTACGGCCTGGGTTCGATCCTCAGCAACACATACAAACAATGATGATGTTGTGTCCGCCAAAAACTAAAAAATTAATATTAAAAATTCTCTCTCTCTTTACCGCTCTAACTCTCTTTAAAAAAAATAAATAAATAACACTGCAACTGCTGAAAACTTATCTCAGGAAAGCATCTTACCAATGCTCATGGAAGTCAAAGGAAACGTAAGTGAGCTGTGAGTTGTTAAAGAGCAGCACTTGTTTAAGGTAAGCATCCCCAATAATCTTCTCTCTTCCTGCCTGGTCTACCAAGTTAATAATAACCTGTGATAATGAATAAAAGGAAAAAACTTAGGTTAATTATATATTAGAATCATAATGTGATTTTTAATGATTTATTTGAAATTAAGTTTTAGAATTTTTCTACAACCATGCCTAGAAATTAATCTACTCAAACATTAATTTTTCATATGAAATTAAAATTCCACTTGTAACATAAACTTGGGATTAGAGAATTATTTAAATCAATGGCATTAATAGCTTTTCTATACATTTGCAATAACCGATTAGAATATACAATGAAAACATGGTCCTATATTTATAACAGTAAGTATTTTAAATGTCTAGAATAATTTTAAAAGAAATAAATAAAACCAGCATACTGAACATTATAAAACTGCTGAAATTTGTAAAAGAAAATCTGAATAAATGGAGATATGTATCATGTTGCTGAATGGCAAGATTCAACATTGTAAAGACGTCAATTCTCCCCAAGTTAATATATATACTCAATAATCTCAATCAAAATTTGACATATTAATTCTAAAGTTCATTTGGAAGAGTAAATACAAAGAAAAAATTTGGAAACTAATAATAAAGAAGAATTTGCCCCACCGAAGAGCAAAATACATTCTACATAGCAATTAAAACTGTGGAACTGGAGTAGAAACAGGTAACTGACTCAACGGAACAGGACTGATGGTCCAGACAAAGATCTAAGTCCACTGAGAAATCTAAGATACACTAACCATACCACTATGGTGAATATGGACTTTTCTATCAATGGTATTGGGATAACTATATCCCCAAGGGTATTAGATAATTATCCAATGTCTCTGGGATATATGGGGGCCATACATTAGCTCTCTACATCTCATTAATTATAGAGAAAATAAATTCTAGACATATTATAATCTAATTTTTTCCCTCAATTTTTAGAAAAAAACAACTTAATGTTTCCATAATCACAGGTTGGGATGTGACTTTTCAAGCCCAACATAAAAAGCAGAGGGCATAAAGGAAAATATGGATAGATGTAATAACAAAAATTTTAAGCCTGTATGCCACTGACAATATAAGATTTAAAAAAAAAGACTACCCAGGAGAATATACCAGCAACATGAAAACCAAAAATATGTAAAGAATATAATAAATCCAATAAGGAAACATTGGGTAAATTCACAAAAGAGAATGTATAAATAGCCAATAAATATGAGGTTACAGCCTTGTTAATAAATAAATGAAATAGAAAACTAGTTTTTACCTGTATATAGGCAAATGTGAATACTAAATACAGACAGCATTGGTAAATGTTGGGAAATGAACCCAGTTTCCATTGTTCCTGGCAGGGTGAACTGTGTGCACTCTTTTTTGGGAGCAACAAAGTGGTAGGTCAACTTTAAATATATATACTGACTGATCCAGCAATTTTATTTCCAGAAATTTATTCTATAAAACACACAAGGATCCCAAAATATATAGAAGATGTTTTCTGGAGACTTTTTATAATAACAAAATAACTCGTAAAATAACTAGTATATTCTAAAGTTCTACCAATGGAGAAATGGTTAACTAGCAGCCATAAAATCTTAAGTGAAAACAGTTGCAGAACAGTATACAGGATATGGCTCTCTTTTTGACTTAAGTTTTGAATTGTGAATATGCATGTGTTAAGGTGTTTTCTGCTGCAAATGACAAACCACTGACTCAAATCAAGTAGCATGGTTCCAGAATGGCTAAATTCAGAGGTTCCCAGTACCATCAAGGACACTGGTTCTTTCCACCTCTCCCCCTTCTCACCCCCAGTATTGGGGTTTGAACAGAGAATACTTGACCACTGAGCTACATCCCCAATTTTTTAAATTTCGAGACAAGGTCTTTCTAAATTGCTGAGGCTGTCTCCAACCCTCCAGAGTAGCTGGGATTACAGTGTGCACCACCAGGCTTGGAATTCTTTCTACCTTTTTTATTCTGCCATTCTTTTCATCTTTTTTATCCTACCAGCATATCAGTTAAGACTCTGGCTAGTTCTTTCAGTCTTGAGATAGCTGCAGCAGTTCCACATCAAATCCTGCCACAACAACCACAGGGGGACTATTGGTTTTTGTATCTCTTTTTATTAGAGCAGGAAATCTTTCCCCAACAGCCTCCCAGGGGACTTCTCTCCCATCATACTTTATTGGGCAAATCACCAATGAAGACACAGGCCCACGCCTAAGCCAATCGCTAGCAAAATAAATGGTGCCACCACAAGTGAGTCAGACCAGCAGTAGACCCATCGCCCTGGAAAGCAATTACCCAGGAAAAGAAGGTAGATAAACAAACACTGTTGGAGCACTGTTAGAAATCAGAAAGTGTCTGCTCAATACAGACACCAATAAAATTGATGTGAAAATCAAAAGGAAGCAGGGGTAAGTGTAGGTTATTTTTTCTGCTTACACATCTCAGTACCACTCCAATTTTATGATATGCCACTTTTAAAATGTGTTCTATTCTTTTAATGCTACTTACAATTACACATATCACTAATAAATGAACTTACATTGTTCAAATACAGAATAGGGCCAAATCCTCTTTTACCACAACCCAATCCCAAAGTCCTCCTTGACAATAACTCCTTTATCAGTTGGATGTGTCCTTTCAGATCACATAATTGCATTTCTGGACACTTGTGCATGCCATATATGTGTGTGGATAGGTGAATAAGAACTACTTATATGTAACTGACACAGTTTTGTTTTGTTGGATGTTTAAACTCACATACCACATGCTGTTAATAGTTTTTTATCTTCTTGCTCCACAATGTGATTTTAATATCTTTCCATCTTAGTATGTGTGGATCTACCTAATTCATTTTAAGCAACATTTATATATACTGTATTTTATCATTGTCTACCTGATGAATACTAGTTTGTTTTTTACGCTGCAATGCATGTTTTTGTATGTGTCTTCTGGATTSAATATGTTTCTCTCAAGTAAATTTAAATTTTTCCCATTCAAGTTCCAGTTGTTCTACATTCTTGCCAAAACTTGGTATTTCTCATCTTTTTCATTTTAGCCATTTTGGTATGTGAGTCATGGTTTTAATTTGCATTCCCTTGATGATTAATGAAGTAGAGCATCTTTTCATGTTTTCTTTTGGCAGGATTTTTTTGGGGGTTGTACTTTTTTTAAAATACATTTTTAGTTGTAGATAGACACATAACTTTATTTATTTATTTTCATGTGGTGCTGAGGATCTAACCCAGTGCTCCACGTGTGCTAGGTAAGCGCTCTACTACTGAGCGAGAACCCCAGCCCCTATACATCTTTTTAAATGAATTTATAAGAGTTTTTAAACATAAAAGAGATCTTTGTCATAGACATGCAATGGAAATCTTAAACATCTTCACCCACTTTGTTAATTTTCTTTTCATTCTCTAATGGTTCCTTTTAATGAACAGAAGTTCTTTATTTCAATAAGGTCAAATTTATCAACTATTAAAATTATAATTAGTGTTTTTAAGTCATACATTATTTTAATAAAGTTTTAACAAATGACACATAACATATAAAACAGTATTTTCATAAGTATAAGTTAATAAAGTTAAATAATCAATTGTGTTTTAATAAAAATTAATTTAAAGTCAAAGTCAAATCTATTAATTTTTTCATGTGTTTTTTTAAAAAACTATTTCCTTTATGGGTATAACCCTGTATAAAACTGTTAATAAAATATATGCTATACAATCATACATTGAAAACATGCGAAGGGGCCGGGGTTGTAGCACAGCGATATGCTTGCCTAGCACGTGTGAAGCACTGGGTTCAATCCCTGGAACCATATTAAAAAAAAAGTATTATGTCCATCTACAACTAAAAAATATTGAAAAGAAAAGAAAACATGGGAAAACAATGGTTAGTGCTCTTTTAATTTCTACTTTAACCCAAAATAAGAGATATTCTATATTGCTTTCTAAATGCTTTAATGTTTAACCTTTCACATTTATATCCATAATCTATCACAAATTGATTTTTGTATAAGGTATGTAGAATATCAAAAAGAAAAATTACTGTGTTAAACAGTATGTTTTGATTAATAACATTCAAAATGACTGTACCAAAATTGTGCTTCTGCTAACAATATGTAAGAGTTCAATATGTAAATTCCTGCTTTCATCTCTTATTATTATATTCCTAATTTTTTTCTAATGTGAGAATTCCTTCCTGAGACTTTGTTTCATATTACATGAAGTTTATATATTAATTTGGAAAGAACTGAAATCTATTCAAATTGAGCCTTTCCTTCCAGGAGCATGATATTTTCTCTCCATTTAAATCAGGTTTTCTTTTGTGTTCTTCCACAACTTTTTTCTTTTCCACATACATTTTATCTTTTTGTATGGCTACTACATTTTAGATTATTTCTCCCTATTTTATGTATTATTACTATAAGATAAATGCATCCCATGGCATTACACATTCAGAGTGGTCAGTGCTAGTAGATAACATTACTATTATATATTAATCTTGTATCAAAATTATTGAACTTGTATTTCACTTAAAAGCTTTTAATTGATTTTGGATTACATGATTACATTCCTACATATGAGTTTATGAAAGATTAGCAGAGAAAAAACAAGATACTGAAAAATGCATATTAAATTGTTATCTCTAGTAGGTAAAAAGAGGTAACAGTAACAGAGATGACTTTCAATTCTTAGTCTAGATACTTCTTGGATTGTTAATAATTAACTGATAGCAACTTCATCTATCTTATCCAAATACAGTCTAAAATAACTGGAGCCAATGTGGTGGCACACACCTATAATCCCAATGACTCCAGAGGCTGCGGCAGGAGGATCACAAGTTTGAGGTCAGTCTCAGCAACTTAGTGAGACCCTAAGCAACTTACTGAAATCCTGTCTCAAAATTAAAAAAAAAAAAAAAAAAATCTTAAAGGGCTGGGGATGTAGCTCAATAGTAGGGCACCCTTAGGTTCAATCCCCAATACTGTAAAAATAAGTTGACTCCATAAATACTTTTTTAAAAAATATTCTTAGTTTATACATGGTTTTTAACTTCATGACAATTGCTGCTTTGTTTAATTATGAATAATAAATTGTATTTCCATGAAATTTAAAGAAATAGAAACACAGTCAACTCTATAGATAAAGAAACATTTTACTACTACATATCAAAGCCCACCTGTTTTTTGTAAATTTTCAGTTGTTCTTCGAAATGGGCACAGAAATAGGCAACAGTTTCCTTTTCACCTACAAAGAAGTGATACAAAATCTATTTTTCCTTCCCATGTTTAAGACAAATTACTGTCTATTCCATCTTTATCCTTACTTCTAAATAATTTATTGACAACTCAAACTTAAGATTGTCTATTATTTTAAAATAAAATGCTAATGAGAGGATATAGCTTTTCTAATTTTACATTTATATTTCTCTTGAATTAAAATGCTTAATGGCTACTTACTATATTTTAATTTTGAAATAAACCCATCCAAATTACTCCTATTTAAATTAAAAAGATAAAGATACATCAACCCAATGATATGTTAAATTTTTAAAAATAACATTTATTTTTAAATATGCTCCCATAAGATTTCCCAAAGAATCTATGTTTGAATAATCTTTATTCCTATGGGAGGAGCAAGAATGCTTTACCACCAAGCATGTTTGTAATATTTTCTTATGCCATAAACTCTCTACTTGCAGTTAGTATCTAATCCTAAGGAGTTGCCAGGGCCAGCTTTGGCAAAATGTAAACTTTAAGTTCAACATTTTCTAACTTGTCTGAATAACCTGAATTGGAACCCATAAATATCTTTTGCCTGCAACATTTCAGTTAGCTCTCAGATATAGCTACCAACTAATTCCCCAAGAAAAAATGCTTAGCTTGCTTCTAATTTGTCAAGTGTATAAGTAATGTAATTGAGCACATTCCATTTTAATGCTTTCTAACCCCATACCTCTGTATAGCATGTACTTTGTCTTTTCAGATGTTTTGTTTTGTTAGCAGCTGGGTCTTAGATGAAACCTTATAATGGTTAAAATAACAGAGTTTGACAACTTCAGACATCCAGGAAATTACCTGACATAGAACTTCTTAATCTTAACACCTAAAAGCCCCATTCTTTTAATAACTGAATTCCCTGCTGTGAAATCTCTGTGCAAATGTCATATTAAAATAGTCATTCAACTGATATTTAACAATAAAAACAACAGGGAAAAAAAATAAAATGCTAAGCCAAAGATCTGTGATTGTTTTTTCCCTATTAGACTACACTAAAACACCTGAAAGTGCCAACTGTGAAACTATGACATTTAGTATTTATATATCCAGTCTACTTTTCACAAAAGGTTGCATGTGACTTACAATTAAAAAAATAAAAATCACTCTAATACAATGATATTTTAAAAACTGAGGTCTTACTGAATTATCCCAAAGAACACAAATTAACTTTTGAGAAAAAAATACTATAAGAAAAAATTTTAAAGCAACCACATTTAGTAATCTAATTAGATAAAAATGACTTAGTACTACAATGCTGAAGTTAAAATACTGGAAGAAAATGAAATTCTCAATTAAAAAATAAATTACATTTGAGTAAAGTTTTCTCATTTTTTTTTTTTTTTTGCAGATTTCATCTTTAAGCTATTTCCTGCCTCTACAAATATTGACTACAGGTACCCTTTTTTCAAAGTTAAACATTTAATAAAGCAGTCTTCAAAGAAACAGCAATTTAAAAATCTGTGAAATAAAGTGGGTTACTGTTGTAGAAACCTTTTTATTTATTTATTTACTTATTTATTTTTGTGGTACTGGGGATTGAACCCAGGGGCACTTTACCACTGAGCTACATCCCCAGCCCTTTTTATTTTTATTCTGAGATAGGGTCTCACAAAGTTGCTCAAGTTGGTCTCAAACTTGCCATCCTCCTGCCTCAGCCTCCCAGATAGCTGGGATGACAGGCATGTGCCACAGCACCCATCTTGGAGAAACTTTTTTTTTTTTAAGTATTTATTTTTTAGGTGTAGATGGACACAACACAATGCCTTTATTTTTATGTGGTGCTGAGGATTGAACCCGGGTCCCGCCCATGCTAAGGGAGCGCTCTATCGCTGAGCCACAATCCCAGTCCCAAGAACATTTTAATGTTAAATAAATGACTCAGTCAACTATTACTATCCTGTGAGTATTATATCACTTTCTACTACATTTCACAGTAAGCGTTTTTTGGTTTTGTTTTTGTGGTTCTGGGGATCAAACCCAGGCTTTGCACATGTTAGGCAAGCACTTCACCATCAAGCAACATCCCGAGCCCTAAGAGTTATCATTTTGAATGAACTATATGGCAAAGCACTTCTAAATCTACCAAGTACCTAATTTTTAAAAAATTATTCTCTCTGAAATAATCATTTGCAAACCAAATAAATGACATGCTTACTTTTGTCCAGCCGAGGTCTTGGATTATATCGATACCCAACTTGGCTCCAAAAGACAGGCACCGAGCCTCGTGTTTGAATAAATGACAGGGTATGATTATGAACATGAATTAATTGCTCAGTCTCCACATAATTTGCAACATTTCCATTTTTATCCACTCCTCTTCGTTTATAGCGCATTCCTGAAAGAAAATTAAAACAGAAAATGGCAACATTTTAAAAACTTTAGTCTGAGTAGATGAGGCTTCCTAATTAAATATAAGTCTTCCAGGAAAGCCTCGGGGATCCTACCTACAACTGGCGGGCAGAACAGTATCAATTTACCCCACATCATAACTGTATGCATTTTGCTTTTAAAAAGTTCAATCTAAACCAGCTCCTCTAAACTGAAAGAGAAAGGCTCCCCCAAAGGCACTAGCACTCAGGAAGAATTTACCACTGGGGTACAGGCTGTCAGTTGGAACACCAATATTTAAAAGCACATCCCAAGTGACTTCCTTCTCTTCTGTATATATAAATCTCCTTTTCTATCTCATTTTGCTAACTCTCCTCCAATTAATCCTCTTCAAAAATTAGTCCCTAATTACATCACTATTTAGAGTCACCAAGCACTTTAAAGCCAACTGTGCTTCCAAATCCATAACCGTCATTAGCATTTCAACATATCTGCAGCTTTTCCATTCTTGTCTGGATCTAATTTGTATGCAATTATAGCCCTCTACTCACCTGCTCTGTGCCTACTCCGCCGTGAAATGAGAGCCACTAGAAATCGTGGGTGAATGTCATCTACACAGGTGGACTCCTGTGGGGGGGTCTCTGGGCTGCTTTTCTCATCATCAGATGATTCATTATAATTAACCACAAGTTCTTCAATCTGCACAAAACCTTGGATAATGGGGATAATCCAAAAGTCCACATCTGGCATCTGAAAACAAAATGAACAATGCATTGTTTATATTCTGCATAGTACTGTTACTTTCTTAAGGCAAACAAGAGTCAGCATATACATGTCAGCTTATTAGAGGCAGAAACCTTCCATTCTTCACCCATATTTCTGCATACTGAACACTAAGGGAGGAAGGAAAGAAAAGAGATTTAAATGAATTGTGGTTTCAATTGCCAAAATATGTAAAGAAGGCCTTTCCTTTTCTTTAGTGATCATTTTAAAAGAGCTGAGAGAGAAGGTAACACAGGAGAGAGTGCATGGGTAGAAATTCAAGCTCCACCACTCACAAAAGTGCTGAAGGAAATGGCCCACACCATGCCTCAATGTCCTCCTGAGATAGGAATAACTAATACTTCATAAGGTTATTGTGAAAGCTAAGTGAATTATATATGTAAAGTGTTTAACACAGCGCCTGCCATAGAGTAAGTATTTCACAAATGTAACTTTTGTGATTATTCCTTTTGGTATACAAAAATAAAGCTTTAAAGTTGTTTTTTTTTTATTTTTACTTATTTTTTAGAGGTAGGGTCTATGTTGCCCAAGCTGATCTCAAACTCCTTGACTCAAATAATCCTGCTACTGCTACCTCAGCATTATGAGCATCTGGGGCTATGGTATGTACCACAATGTTCAGATCCTTAAAAGTTGATTTTCAGCTCACTATCATATTAAGACTTTAATAAAATGCAATCAACTCTTATTATTTTTTTTAAAGAGAGGGTGAGAACGAGAGAGAGAGAGAGAGAGAGAGAGAGAGAATTTTTTTTAATATTTATTTTTCAGTTTTCGGCGGACACAACATCTTTCTTTGAATGTGGTGCTGAGAATCAAACCCGTCCGAACACATGCCAGGCGAGCGCGCTACCGCTTGAGCCACATCCCCAGCCCTCTTATTGATTATTATGAAACACATAAGTCCACCTTATTTTCTAGTTTAGAAAAACACTTGCTTCACCAAACTAAAATCCAAACAGTAAATGAACAACAACCAAACAAACATTGTACTGCTAGGTATTGAACTCAGGCCTCACACACGCTAGGCAAGCATTCTACTACTAAGCTAAGTCCCCGGTCCTATACATCTTATTTTAAAATGTCAACCAACATAATTAGGAGAGTATAGATTAGAGTTAGAGATTTTCCTCCTTTCTTTCAGAATAAGTATATTCAGATTTCTCAATTGACTATATGCAGAGAATATAAAAAGCCTCCGGAAAGCTATTCTTAGTTCTATATTCTCTCATCTTCCTAACTGGATGCAGCCTTGATCTCAGCATCAGTTTCAAATCCACCTTTTTCTATAACCAGGTAGTCCAGGTTCCATCTGTTTTGTTTTGTTTAGAGAGCCTCCAGATAAGATTTTAGGAAGGCAGAGTTGAAACAGTGAGGTGACAGGTCTACTGCATTCATTATTCTTCATCACCATTTTCACTATTTGTGTTTTTATTCTAGCCACAACTGCAAGGCTCATGACAAGAACAGAGAAATGTGTTTTGCCAAATGTCACCTATATTTCAAGTATCAGTTTTAAGTGGTAATGTAAATCTTTTTGAGAAAACTCAGCAGAATATAATTCAATATTGTCATAATACACAAGTTCTCATTACACTTATTGTGCATGCGTTTATTTTTCCTGTCACCAGGTTTTGGTGGTCATAGTTTGATCAGCTTTATAAATAGAGGTGAGAACAATTTCAAACTTCACACCACTAGATAAAGTGAAAATTGTTTAGTCAAACCACACTTATGGAAAGAAAAAGAAAGGAGGAAAAATTCTGAAGGTTAAGAAAAAGATAACATATGATCCTATTTAGCTATTTGCCTGCTTTGTTTAGTATCCAAAACAGTAAGTGGCAATAGCAAGGCTTCAATAAGTATTTGTTGATTGAATGAATGAACTATCTTTGCATGGTCACAATTCTCCAACATAAATAAAAGGGAAGGAAGAAAGTGATTATCAAGCAAGAAAGAACCTCTAATGAGATGTAATTATCTCATTATATTCTGTGTCTTCTCTGACTGTGTCTTCACTGGCAGTATTGGAATGGCCTTAGGGATTCATCTACTCCAATTCCCAGATGAGAAAAAAGAGGGAAAAGGAAGGAAGTGAGTGGTACCATTACAGGAAACGGGGGCTTCAACATTTGACTGGGTACAAACAAAATACTTCTTCATAGAAACTCTTTGGACATTAGTTTCACAGCCTTGTATTACAACTATCTTGTAGGAACCTAGGCAATGGAACTAAAAACTGCCTTAAAGGAATGCCTTGATTTTTCCTAGCTAACTAACTCCCTTCCATAGGGGAAAACATAGTGAGATTTAAAAATTTATCTTAATGCAATTTTTAAAAATTTGCTAACAACTATAATTTAGGATTATATAACAACTATAACTTTAGAAACTACTCACACCAATCTCAGTAAGATCTCGTATCATATATTTATTCCAGAAAAATCGGTCATCAACCTAGAAAAAAAATAGAGATAATCCAGTTCAAAAACACATTATTTCAGTTTTTTTACAAAAGACGAAAGGGTCAGCAATTGTTCCAGAGGGCAAACCCTGCTTGTATCTGTGAGTTGTACCTTTTGCCAGAGAGGACGGCTGTCCTTCTCCCCAGTGCTCTGTCTCTGCACGGAATTGGTCAGGTCATAAGTCAAGCTATAATAAAAGGATTCTGAATCCATAAACATCTTTAGCAACTCTTCAAGTAATCTTCTCTCCAACTTCTCCTTTTCTTTACTTTCCTTAACCTATAAGAAATTAACCTACTATTACTGCAGGAATTAAATGTGAAGTATTTGAGTAAGGCTGGAAATGAAGCTCCACGACAGAGAGCTTGCTTACCATGTACAAGGCCCTTAGTTCAATCCCCAGTACTAAACAAACAAACAAAAGTAAAATATATGGGTAATACAAGACTTCCAAGTTAGAATATGAGGAGACACTGCTTCATAGAACAAATAGTTTGAAAATAAATTTACTGGCAGAAATGTTATCCCTCAATTTAAAATTAGTTAAAGATGAATCAAACCCATATGAACTAAACTCTTACTTTCTTTTTATTAGGAGCAGACACATTGGATTTAATATGCGTAAAGGTCTTCAGTAGAAACTTTGAGTCATCAGGAGACGGTATAATCTTCTCTGGTTTGTTAATCCCAAAATGATGCTTCTTACAGAGCTAAATAATTAGGGAGAGAAAGATGATTCATTATTAATTAATAACTGCTTGTTAAATGTGTCTAAAAGTATAGATGTGAATGCTATTGATCATGCATTTGGGTTAAAAGTTCAAGAGTTAGTGAAACAACCAAGTAGACTAAGTATATAGAAAACAGCTGTTGTTTCAATGATTAAAAAACCACAGTAAAGATTTATATATTTAGGATTTAGAGGCAAAAAATTCAGTTTAGGCCCATAATTACAATAAATTCTTATCTAATATAATTGCAGAATAAAATGTTCTGAGGTTATTAATGCTTTGAAAATTGGCATCTCCTCTGTCACAAGGTTTTGGCGGTCACAGTTTGAGAACAATCTCATACTTCATTCTCAATAGAGGCATGATAGATACCTTATTGAAGACACCAATAGTGAAAATTATTTATTTTGACATGTAGGATAAAGAATAAAAATTTTGCTAACACACATTTGCTATGCTTCAGGGTCATTATTAGAATCTGTCCTAAATATACATTCATGATACTTTGGCTAAGAAGATATCTGGGGTCTACTCTATTAGGAATCTTAAAAGCTGGACATTTCAACTATTCCCCTTCTTCTATTCTTACAAACCCTAGTGAAATCAGCATAATAACATTTGATATGGGTCCAGAGATTAAATTTAAAGACACAATAGCCAGTGGTGAAATCCCAGCATCTCAGGAAGCTGAGGCAGGAGGATATCAAGTTCAAGGCCCATCTCAGCAACTTAGCAAGATCCTATCTAGAAATAAAAAATAAAATGAGCTGGGGGTATATACCCTTGGGTTCAATCCCCAGTACTACAAAAAAGGAAGGAAGGAAGAAAAACAGGAAGGGAAGAAGGAGTGATAATTAAGGGCTGCAGGAAATGTGTAATATAACAGATAAAGGTTAAGAGGAGGATGGGACCATAAGTGTGACTGGCTGAGAAAAGTGTAGGGTATGGAAAGTTCTAAAATAGGCTACCTGGTTAGAGTCAAGAGCTTTACATATTACTTCACATATCTCAACATATTCTGAAGGGTACACAATTTTATTAAGAATACATAGACCAATTTCATTTCTTCAACACTCTAGTTTTATAGCTAAACTATATGGGAAATTCATATTAAGAACTAAGTTATTAGATGGGGTTGTGGCTCAGTGGTAAAGCACTTGCCTAACACAAATGAGGCAATCCTCAGCACCACATAAAAATAAATAAATGAATAAAGATATTGTGCCCATCTATAATTAAAAAAATTTTTTTAAAAGAACTGTTTATTAAATTCTAATGATTATTATTATTAGTGTCTTAACAAATAACAATTAACAGATGATGAGAACAAAAGCTAGTTCAAATTTTATTATAAAAAAGGGAGAGAGCCAGGATCAGTGGCACATGTCTATAAACCCAGTCACTCAGGTAGGCTGAGACAGTAGGATGTCAAGTTTGAGGCCAGTCTGAGCAATTTAGCCAGGCCTTGTCTCAAAATAAAAATGAGAAGAATTGGGGATATAGCTCAGTGGTAGAGCACTTGCTTAGCATGCATAAGACCCTATCAATCCCCAGTACTACAAAAAAAGAAAAGAAAGAAAGAAAAAGGAGAGAGAGACAAAGAAATTATCCTGTTTTATAAAATGTGGGTGTAGAGACTAATAACTGGATCAAGTTTTCAGATACAGTGAAATTTCTAGCTTATTAATGCCTTTTCAAAATCATGGCTATCAAAAATTATTCACATGTGTTCACAACATCACAAGTTTTTTCTTTTTTATATTATAGCATATATGCTGTTAAGTAAATTTGCATTTTATTAATCATAACCACATTGACATTTATCAGAAAGGGAAATCTATTTTTAGAAAAGGAGAAATACTTGCAAGCTGCTTCTGCATTCTGGGAAAGTGCAGAATTCACCTCAAAATTATTCATTCTTTTTCACAACCCTTAGACTGTGAAAGAGAATACTCTAGGCTAGTCTGATGAGGGGGTCAGGCTGAAGGGAAATAAACTGTTTTGCATAATGAAAGATCTTTTTTTCTCTTTCCAAATTTTTTATTAGTGCATTATAGTCATACATAATGATAAGATTTTTTGTTACATATTTGTACATGCACATGATATAACAATATAATTTGGCCAATGTCACTCCCCAGCACTTCCCACCTCCCACCCCATGGTCCCTTTCCTACTGATCTCTTTTTGATTTTACATGATCACAACTTTAAGCTGCTCCTGCACCACCATTAGAGACAAGGGGACTAAAGATGAGGTAGAAAAAACAGTATAGTCCTGCAAAATCAAGTTAATTTCCCTTCAAGTAAGGAAACTAACAAGACCTTGAGCTGATGAGGAAAGAAAAAAATGAAGCATACAGACAACTCTCCAGCAATTCTCTCCTCCTCTCTTTCTGTTTATGATTCTCATCCTCAAACATACTGATGTTTCTTTCCTCTTAACATTTCCCCTTGAGCCTGCTTCCTCAAACAGGTATTGTCCTATTAGTTTGTGCACCTCATCACCTCCAACACACTCCTCTAATTCTTCTTTCCCAACACACTCCAATTTGGCTTTGTCCTATTAATACTCTAAACCACTATCTTCAGCAAGATCTACATTTTGCTGAACTCAATGGTGGATTTTTGGTTCTTGCAACATCTGATGCAATTAATCACTCCTTCACCCTCTTTGATAAACTTCACTTGGCTTCCACTGGTTGCTCCTCCTCTATCCCTTTGACTGGATGCTTTCCAACTACCTGACTCCTTAATGCCTAGACAGACCAAAGTCCAATCATTGACACGACTCCACCTGCATATTCACTCCCTCAGTGATTTTATTCAGTTTCATGGCTCCAAATACCATCTATCATATGTCAAAACCTCCCTCCCAAATGCATAATTCCAACCAAGTTCTCTCCCCAAACTCCAGCTTCACATATCCCAACATTCCACTTGGATTTCTACCACACATCTAAAAGTCAACATGTTCAAAACCAGATCCTTAGCTCCCCTCATTGTCTTTACCACATTGCTATTCTCCACCTTATTAAGCCTCCTTTCTGTTCCTCAACACATCAGGACACTTCCACCTCTGGGCTTTTGTTCTAGCTATTCTCTCCCCTTGGACCCGCTCCTCTCAGAAATCTTATCACAACTTCCACTCCTGGGCACTCCCTCCACCACCCTTACTGTGCTCAACTTTTATTTACATTAGCATTATTACTTTCCAACATACTTCATAATATTATGTTGACACTTATCGTCTGCCTCTCCTCCTATAATGTAAGTTCCATAATAAAGGGATCTTTATTTCATTAACTCACATATCTCCAGTGCCTTAACAGCACCAGGCAGCACAGGTTGAAATAAATATTTGTTAAATGAGTGAGTGGGCTCTGATGCTACAAATAAAAGTAGAACTCTTAGATTCACAGGGGGCAGATAAGTAGTCCTGGGAAGACCATCATCTCCCTTCCTCATTGTAGTATCACTAGGACAGCCAAGATGCAGTTTCAAAAAGATCAAACTTTTTCTCTCTGTTACTTGTCTGTGCTGCTTTGCTTGTGGGTCCAAGCAATTTTTATACATAATGTTAATAATTATCTAGTCATATTAGTAATATTTTCTTTTAAAAGTCTGAAAACATATTCAAACCCAAGTTATAAAGGCTGGGGATTTGACTCAGTGGTAGAGTGCTTGTCTGGCATGTATAAGGTCCTGGATTCAATCCCCAGTGCTAGCAGTGGGGATCCCTAGTTACAGGTGGTTGCAATTTAAAAAAAATTTTTTTAGTTGTAGATGGACACAATATCTTTATTTTTAATTAATTAGTTTTATTTATTTATGTGGTGCTTAGGATTGAACCCAGTGCCTCACACCTGCCAGGCAAGTGCTCTACCATTGAGCCACAACCCCAGCCCCCAGGTGGTTTCAATTTTAATATTCAAAACAGAACATTGTGCATTTATTAGACATAGTTACTCTTTAAGAACATTCAATGGGCTGGGGATGTGGCTCAAGCGGTAGCGCGCTCGCCTGGCATGTGTGCGGCCCGGGTTCGATCCTCAGCACCACATACCAACAAAGATGTTGTGTCCGCCGAGAACTAAAAAATAAATATTAAAAAAAAAAAAAAGAACATTCAAGCCAGCAAAAATTTCCCCCAGGAATATATCAGACTGTTCTAAAGATCTAATTGTTTTAAGGCAAGCTTGTGGCAGCACATCTAGTCCGCACCCACACCTTCCTCACTCTCAAAAGGGTGGAGTCCATTTTTCTCAGCAAGGCTGGCTTCTGTCTGTGTCTCCTCGAGGACCTCACCTCATCATTCACCCTTCTTTCCTGTCCCAACCTTTCTCTAACAGCCTCCTTCCTTAACATCTATCAACATGTTCTCATGTGCCAGAATCTTTTTTTAAATCCATTTCAGAGCTCTGAATCCATTCTGAGAGTTAGCAGAGTATAGTCTCCTGTCTCGGGATTGTGAGGACACTAGTCTGACTCTAAATTGCACAGGGAGTGAGTCAACAACCTCCTCAACTCTGAAAAAGAATGAATGTCTGCAGCACTAACAATCTCTTCCTGTTGTCCCATCTTTTGGTTCTCCTGACACCAATCTCTCTGTATTCTCCCCTAGCTCTGGCTGCTCCTGCTCAGACACCTTTGTTGGTATGTGTGTGTTGGTATGTGTTCCCAGTGTTCTGTCCTCAGCTCTTTTTTCCTTCTTCATACTCTGTCTAGCAAGTGTCACCTTCTTTTCATGTTTTAAATATCACTGTTTAATGCTACTTTTTCACTCTGAGCTCAAAACCCTTATAATGATATGCTCCTCTCACTGAGGAACTAGATGCTAGTCCTTCAAATTCAGCATCCTTAAACCTGATCAACATCTATTTCCAAGATCTTGTTCCTTCTCTGATATGCCAAAACCATCCACTGGATCACTCATGCAACAGAGCTTGAGTCATCTCCTTCCTAAAGTCTCTGTTATCAACCTCACCACTTCATGCCCATTGCTAACAGATGCTTAATCTTTTGCCCTGGCTAGTGTTTCTTATTGGAAGTAGCAAACAGGAGATTCTTGATGCAGGATTTTCCTACTTAGTGTAGACAATCTAACAGCCCACTTTCATGAGCTGAGGAGCTCCGCTTGAGCTCATGTCTTACAATAGTAAGTACACTTAGCTACAGCTCCAGGCTCCTAGCTCCCATCTCCTATGAAGCTCTAATTGTCCTCTTACCATGCAGAGCCAATTTCCATGTGCTACTGCCTTGCTCTGGATCCAACCCAGAAAGCCTATGGCTTCAGTTTGATCTACCTTTCCATTTATGGTCCACAAAACTCCTCCTTCTCTCCAAGCCCTGCAATGTTGTTTTTGTTTTTATTTCTTTCATCTATTCTCCTCCAAGGCTTGGAAAAGAGTTGATATATGCCCACCATTCTTTAACTTCCTTATCCACAACTCCAAAATCCAAAAAATAACTCTGGAACCTGAAAATTTATTAAAAACTCACCTAACAGGGCTGGGGTTGTCACTCAATGGTACAGCACTTGCCTCACATATGTGAGGCACTGGGTTCGATTCTCAGCACCACATATAAATACATGAATAAAATAAGGTCCATCAGCAACTTAAAACTTTAAACAGCAAAACATGCCCTAAACTGACATGAACATGAGGATACTCATGGTCATCAATTACCCACCTTAGTATGAATATTCCTATGATTCTCTAAGAAATATCAATGTGTTATACTGTAGGATAATGCTCTAGACCCAGTGGTTGTGCGAATACATAGAATAATCTTTTCAAAACACCAAAAAAAAAAAAAAGAAAAGCTGAATTCTAAAATAAATATGGTCCCAAAGGCTTCTGATAAGGACTACAGATCTGTATAACAAAGCAACAATTGAATCACTTTAACCAGAAGTCTTTATCTCTTAAAACTGGTTTTTCTAAGTAGAAATTTATAGTTAATATAAACAAACATTTTCAATGAATATTTTAGAATCTTCTATACAGTTACTTTTAGAAAATATAGAGACCACTATCTTCTGAAAAGGTTAAAGTCGGTCCTTTATTTCCCAGGGTCCCTTCCAGTCATAAAATGATTTGTTTAGACATAACCCTTAAAATTACAATGTACAGCACTGGCAACAGATCACCTTCCAGAGGCCTGGCCAGTTCTGTACAGTGTGTGGTTAGGCCCTTATCACAACTTTAATAACACCCAGTCTCAAAAAGAAAATCATTATCACAGGCTTCACATTACTCTCTTAGTTTTTCTATTACTCTTGTAACTCACATTTCACAACCTTGATTAAGAGACATTATTGCTGTTGTTGCTTAAGAAAAGAAAAATAAATGATTTTACCTTAAAAGTTGGTGGTCTACAGCCATTTGGAAATAAAATTTTCAACAGATGTCTGATGAGAAACTAAATATGTAAAAGATGCATTTTTCTATTAAGGGGCAATAGATAGAGAAAACAGGATATGCAGACATGGAACACAGACTATAAAATTTTAAAAAGATAATTTTTTTTTAAAGAAACAACATGTTATTTCATTCTCCTTTATTTGAGCCCTATAGATTCTTCCTAACCTTAATTTTTTTTTTTTAAATTTTGCTTTGCAAAACAGTCTGGTAGTTCTTTAAAAAGTTAAACAGAGGGCTGGGATTGTGGTTCAGTGGTAGAGCACTTGCCTGACATGTATGAGGCACTACATATAAATATAATGAATACAGGTCTGTCAACAACTTAAAAAATATTAAAAAAAAAGTCAAGCAGAGTTACCATATGACCCAGCAATTCCCTTCCTAGGTACCTATCCAAGAAAAATGGAAACAAATGTCCACCAAAAACTTGTATGCAAAATCATAGCTGCATTATTCATGACACCTAAATGGTGAAAACAACTCAAATATGTCCATCAACTGATTACAAATTTTTAAAAAGATGTAGTATACTCATACAATGAAATATTATTTGGCAATAAAAGGGAATAAAGTACTGATGTGCTACAACAGGCATGAACCTTGAAAACATTCTGCTGAGTAAAATAAATCAATCACAAAAAGTCACATATTATAGAATTCCATTTACATGAGATGTCCAGAATAGGCAAATTCTTTGAGGATGGATAACAATATGTTCTAAAATTGATTGTGCACAGAATTATGTGACTATCACCACATTCTAAAAAACACTAAATTATATACTTTAAATGGCTGAATTAGAGTTTGTAAATTATTTTTTAAAACTAGCAAATAATCATATACCTTGGGTAAAAAAGGTAACTGAAGCAGAAAACTAGAAATTCTATTAATACCAGACTCTGAAATAAAATTGTTTCTGCTCCAATTACAGAAGATAGACAAGGCTTTACCAAATCTGAGAAGGCTGCCCACACTAAAGAGCCTCAGGGCACTACTAGAGAGAATGAAAGCAGTAGACTACTCAAAGTGATACACAGGCATCCAAATTAGAAAGACATACTACATTAAGAAGACATAGAACTAGTTTTGTTTAACAAGTCTTTTTTATGCATAAAATATACATGTTCATGACAAATGGGAGGAGTTAAGTAGAAAAAAATATGTAAAAATATAAAACTTATTCTGCAAAATTTGAAAATAATATTTGTACTCCCAAAAGCTTGAGGCAAAAGGAAACACTCAATGGAAAATTTACTGGAGTTTTAACTAGAATGTTAAAAAGAATTATTTTTAAGTGGTGGTATTTTTTTTCTTCTCCTTTACGATTTACTGTTTAATCAAATTATTAATACACAAAAAGTGAGGACATTATAAAAATAATTAAGCTTCTAAAATGGAGTCATACAGAAATTGAAATGGATAACAAACATTTAAATTAACATGTTAAAAGATTAGCAGGAAATTAGTGATTTTTAACATAGCTAGTTCTTTGTCCTTCTTGCTGTTCACTGTAACAAAGCTCTTTTACCACAAATCAGGATTAAAAGGAGAGAGGAGAAAAGGCACAGGTGCAAATTTCAAAAATTATGATCTCTTGAAAGACAGATGTACCAAACTACTCATCAAGACAGATTCTGAAAATATTTTATAGTTATTGTTACCATAATTAGCAAAAGTCATTACATAAATCCAATTCCTAATATGAACCAAAATCTTTGGTTAATCTAAGTAACATACTGACAGCTGTTAAAATACTCAATTGCCACATGGGGGAAAACCCATTTACTTTTTTTAAAAATATTTTTTAATTGTTAATGTATCTTTATTTTTTATTTATTTATATGTGGTGCTGAGGATGGAACCCAATGCCTCACATGTGCTAGGCAAGCGCTCTATGAGCCACAGCCCCAGCACCCCAATTTTCATTTTTATGTGAAGATAATCTCTTTCCTTTAGACTATCAAGAAAAGTATGGATATAGAAATCCATACAACTTTGATAATATTCACACTTTTGTGTTTAAAAATTCTATGTAAATATTATTTCCCAACATTCTTCTTTATCCCATTTATACCAGACAGATATTAGTCTCAAAAATGTTACAGATTGGTGGCCATAAGGAATCTGAAAACCTCCCTGAAAAGTCCAAAAAGGGTCCAAGTCCTCTCTAGATGAGGTGTACTCCAGGGCTGGAGGTGCCAAATATGCAAACTAATGACCTGGACGATGAACAAGACTCTAGGTGAGCAGTTCCCTCCTCTAAATCTGACTGCCAGAGACTCCAGGCTTAATATTCAAGCCTAAGTTCTAAAGGGCTTTATTGTCTGTTGCCTTCTGTTCAGGTAACTTGAAGGCAGCTCAGCAGAGGGATACAGAACCAGACTACCAGAGTACCAGGTCCAGACCCCACCACGTGCCAGGTGTATGACTTAACCTTTGCCAAGCTTCCTTTCATTATGTGCAACGATGCCTACCATACAGGGTGGTTCTAGGACTGATATTATAATCCGAGTAACACACAAAGCTTGCCCAGCACATCACACAGTGAATAAAATATGTCCAAGTGATGACAATTTTTACATGTCAAATCCCCATACCAATAGCAGACATCTATAAATGCTATTGGAGGCAGCACCTTGTGGTGAAAAACCACTTGTCCTATGCAATATTATTATTTTGGCCTTAAGTCACTCTACTTGTGGGCTTGGTTTCTCCCCTGGAAAATGAAAAGACTATACAAGACTATACTACAGCAGTGGTTTTCCTTCTTTAAAAAAACTTCCTTTTAAAACTATAAGAGTAACAAATGCTTAGAAATTTTTTACACAAAAAATATATACACATATATATATACATACCCACCCATACACACACACACACACATATATATATTTTATATAAGAAAGAAGACCGAGTAAAAGTTAAATATCCCATTCTTGACTCCTCTTCCACTAAATCAGGAGTTTTCAAACTGAATTGTACAAAGCACCAGGGCTCCCTAGAAGTGGAGGGTAGCTTTTCCAGAGAAGTCAAGTGCGCAAGACCCCAATGATCCTCAACCCCAACACCACCTCAACTAAAGGGGCTCAGCTTGCATGTGTCTTACATACTGGATTTTAAAGTTTCTGAAGCAAGGGTTCTAATACTAAAATGAACTTTGAAAAACACAGGATTAAACTATTTTAAAGATATTATCCAGCTCTTAAAATGTATGTTCCTTGTCTATTGAACCAGATCCTTATATTTGCTATTACATTTCATCAGGTTCCCATAGAATCTCCCTTGATTTCACCTTACCTCTAGCTCCAGATCCTGAGGTTCCATTTCTGAAAGTGATATCACAGCAATTTTGGTAACTTTACAGACTTCATGGTCTCCTGGGAGTTTGCCCACCAATGCTTTCTGCCGAATTAGAATAAGCCACCATGGGAGATCTGAAAGAGAAAAGTTGTATTAATGTCTGGTATTTATAGAGTATTACCGTCCTGGCAAATTGAAGGTGAATGACCTAATGATAACAAAAAATGTATCAGATACAACTTTTTAAAGTAAAACACAACAAAGATACAAAAATAGCCCTTAAACATGAAGAGATTCAATCTCACACAAAGAAAAATGTAAATTAGAACAACATGTGATGCCATTCTCACTCATTGGATCAGGGATAATTAAATGTTATGACAACACGTTTGCTGGTAAGGCTATAGGGAAACCAATACTCTCTCTCATACAACAGTGCCGATGGGAATACCAACTGACACAACTCTTCTGAAGGGAAATTTAGCAATACCTAATAACACAATATGCACACTTACCTTTTAACCCAGCAATCCCACTCTTGGGAATTTACCCTGAAGATACACCTCAACAACAAAAGTATACACTCTCCAGCCTATTCATTGCAGCAGTCTGTAATTGCAAAATACAGTATAGGAACAACCTAAGTGCCCAGACACAAGAGAGTAGTTGAATAAACTATGGCACATCCATACAATCAAGTACTATGCAGCTATAAATAGGCCATTTCACTATCTGTTATCATTAAACATTAACTGAGGATCTACCATGAGCTGGGAAATTAATCAGACATAGATCAAAGTTACAAAGCACCTAATGCATAATAAACCAAACACATAATAAAGTTTATGATTCATAATAAACAGCTGAATGCCAATAAATATTTTTTGCAGTACTTTTATTGAATGTCAAAGTGTTCTATGAACTGATCAGGAATGATTCCTGGATGCATTAGTAAGTGGATAAACTGGATATACTATTTACATATAATGTGACTATTTGGTTTATTCATGAGGTATCTCTCAAAAGCTCATGTGTGAGACAATGTAAGAATTTTCAAAGATGAAATGAATAGATGATAGCTGTAACCTAACCAATAGATTAATCCACTGATATGGATTAACTAGGTGGTAACTGTAGGAAAGTAAGATGTGGCTGGAGGAAGCAGGTCACTGGGGGTGAGACTTTAGGGTTTATATTTTGTCTCTGGTGAGGAAAGCTATTCTGCTTCCTGGTTGCCATGTTCTGAGCTGTTTTCCTCCGTCATGCCCTTCTGCCATGATGTTCTACCTCATCCTGGGTCCAGAGATATGGAGTCAGCCAACCATGGACTGAACCTCTGAATCCTCCTCTATGGTTCTTGTCATGTCTTTTGATCACAGCAATAAAAAAAGCTAGCTTTAAAATGGCTATACAATCAGCTTCCACATAATGAATCAGTCCATGACAATGGTCCCATAAGATTATAATGGAGCTGAAAAATTCTTATCACCTAGTCATGTCATAATTTATAGTGCAGCATGTAGTCACATGTTTGTAGTGATGCTGGTGTAAACAAACCTAGTATGCTGCTAGACATATAAAAATATAGTATATATACAGCTAGGTGTGGTGGTACCTATTATTCCAGCTATTTGAGAGCTGAAGTAGGGAAAATGTATGTTCAAGGATGGCCTGGGCAATTTAGTAAAATCTTGTCTTAAAATTAAAAAAAAAATGTTTAAGGCCTAAGGATATAGCTCTGTGGTAAAACACCTCTGGTTCAATCCCCAGTAACAGAAAAAAATACAATTATGAACAGTACATAATACTTGATATGTTTGATAAATGACTATGTTACTAGTTTGTGTACATACTATGCTATACTTATTTTATTTGGTTGGTTTTTGTTTTGTTTTGTTTTTGGTTTTTTGGCAGTGCTGGTAATTGAACTCAGTGCCTTGTGCATGCTAAGCAAGCATTAAAGAAACTCTGGAAAGCTTCACTAATAGTAATAGAGTTTATGTATTAATAAACAAATGATTACTATGTATAAAATCCCCATTGTCTGCATAAAAAGGATACCACAAAATTCCGTACCTAATGTCTTGAACATCTTTTCATCACACTATTTAGAGTCTTCATTCAGTTTTTCAAAAATATAGTACATAATATTTTATTGTACAAAATTACCATAATTTATTTAGCCTTTTTTTCAACTTGTAGAATTTTAGATCACTTCAATTTTTTTTCCATTATAAATAATGCTACTTGGGGAAAATCTTGTACATATATAACTTCCTATTTTTTTTCCAGTTGTAGATGAACACAATGCCTTCATTTTATTCATTTTTTTAAAAATATTTTTTAGTTGTAGATTGACATATTACTCTTTGTTTTATTTATTTATTTTTATGTAGTGCTCAGGATTGAACGCAGTGCTTCACACATGCTAGGCCAGCACTCTACGTTCGTTTTCATGTGTTGCTGAGGATCAAACCCAGTGTCTCACTAGGCAAGCACTAGGGCAAGCACTCTATCACTGAGCCACAACCCCAACCCCCTTTTAATTCTTGAAATGTATCAATATTAGTGAAAATATGTAGCTATCTGGAGTGCTGTTTGAAGCAATAATCAAAATTATCCTAATGGAATGAAAAGGGAAATAATGCATTGAACATTGAGTTGTTTTCAGGCAAATTAATTCACTTTAGAAAAATAAAACAAGCATAAAGCCTCGTGGAAAACAATAGTAATCTCTAGTCTGGTAATTATTTTGCTTTAGGTTGAATAAAACACCACTACTTCCCTGAAAGCCTAAGAGATCCAGCAGAAATGTATCTGTTAAGTTACATGGTTAAATGATCCAAATATAGTTTTTAGACTTTGAGTTTTAAAATAAGACAAATGTGAAAGTATAGCACCACTACTGTTTAGCAACCCCAGTATATATTAGGCACAATATTATGATAAAAAAATTTAAAAAGCATCAAAGCTACTGTATCAATTTACATTACCCACCTGGAAAAGAAACTTGGTTCTGCTAAAGTTTCAATGTTGAGATTGGGATACACAGTTTCACAAAGAATCAAAAGGTAATTTAATCTAGAAAGATCTGATGGCATAAAGATGTTTTTTTCAAGGTTTTAACCTATAAAATGGGAAGGAGTCAATTTTATAACACTGTTCTCCAGGAAAGAAAGACAAGAAAGTCTAACCTCCCTAGCAAGATAAGAAAACCGATTAGGAAGCAGGTATCTTGAAAAACATGAACAATAGAGCAAGCTAAAACAATAGCCCTAGAAGAGGCTGAATAAAGCTCAGTATTGAACTTTACAATAAATTATAATAATAATTGCCCTATACAATTAAAAGGGGATGAAGATACTTAGGACAAAAATTTTCATTCAATTTGGGGAGACAAAAATGTCTTCTTCTGTTCTAGTCAGGTTCTCAAAGAAACAAACCAGCAGAATACTTGTAGATATACCTAAGAGGAGATACATCACAGGAATTGCTCAAGAGATTACAGGAGCAAAGAAGTCCTTCGATGTGTCATCTGCAAACTGGAAAACCACTAAAATTGATGGTATAACTCAGTCTAAGTCCAGAGAAGCCAATATATAAGTCCCAAGTCCAATTCCAAAGACTGAAGAACCAGGATAGTTTAAGATGAAAGGCCTGAGAACCAGGAGCTCCGATGGACAGGAATAGATGAATGTTCTGTCTCAAAGAAAAAGAATTCACTCTTTTCCCATCTTTTTGTTCTATTCCAGCCCTCAATGGATTGGATGATGCCTACCTACATTGGTGGGCAGAGTTTTATTCAATCTACCAATTCAAATGCCAGTCTCTTCTGGAAACACTGTCAGACACACAACAGAAATACTGTTTTAATAGCTATCTGGGAATCCCTTCCTAGTCAAATTGACACATAAAATTAACCCATCATATCTCCCTACTCATGACCTCACCCCTAGGAAGTATTGCATCTACATATTTCTAGATAAGGTTATCCATCCTTACTTAGAAAAAAAAAGGTTATTCATCCTATTGTCATATAGAAAAGATATGCATTTATTCAACAAGGCATCTCAGCAATCATTTTTATTAAATGTTAATAATATAAGGAATATATAAATATATTCCATTTTTTAAAGTTTTAAACATTACAGAAAAAACTAACGTCCCTTTGGCCACTATTACCGACTCTATGGAAATTCTTTAGTCCAAATCCCACTATATTAATTCTCTCATATAAGCAGAACAGAAGAGTAAATGGTTACCATTCTTGGCATTAGTCCTTAAGAGTTAAAAATTACTTGTAACCATAACTTATTATTATATAGGTTCTATTTTCACTGCCTTTTGAACACTTTCTAATTTAGCTGTCTACAAACTTTTACATTATAAACAAAGGTAAAAATAAGAAGAGAAGGTGTGTTTGCTAATGATTCTCACGTTTACCTCCTTGGTGTGGCCCAATACTACAGGCTAGATTCCTGAGGCCAGCAAGTTATATCTCCTAGACCATCAAAACAGAGTACTCAACTTCCTCAGCATTCATATAGCTGTGTGATTATGAGAGTCAGCACAAGAGAATTTATAACTATAAGGACATGCTAATAAAGACTACCCAAAGACAAAGGTAGATATTAGCTACTCCAAAGTCTTTTTGCAACATAATACTCAAAAAATACTCAAATAAAATTTATTTATTTATTTAATAAGATAATGAATACTCAAATAAGATTTAATTTGTTTAAGGGCTTCTGTTGTTTATGCCTTAAAGAGCCACAGAAGTCTCTCTACATTTGCACCAAGTGCTGGTAAGAAAAAGAGATATTATACTCTGCTCACCTTTCCTTCTTTTGTTGCCAGTAAGAAGACTTGCATGTTTCCCTATCGTTTCAAATTGATATCTAAACTAAAAAATGTAAGCCAAATGACTCACTGTTCTCTATATATTTTGAGGTTATGCTTCAGTATATATAATTTTTTTTTCAGTGCTAAGGATCAAATCCAGAGCCTCATGCATGTACTCTACCCCTCCAACATGAGCTAAATCCCCAACCCAGCTATAAAATTTGTTATATCATTCTAATGACTTGAACATTATTATCTGAAAAGTCTCTCTCTCTCTCTCTCTCTCTCTCTC